TAACACCTACATCATCATTCACACAAGAATCCTTCCTCGGAAGGGGGTTATCATCGAAAACAACATGTATAGACTCTTCTACAACTAAAGTTCTTTTATTAAATACACGATAGGGTTTAGAATTTAAGGAATAACCCAGAAAAATTCTTTCATCACTTTTAGCATCAAATTTGCCAAGGTTTTCTTTACCGTTGTTTAAAACAAAACATTTACATCCAAAAGGATGAAAATAACTAATGTACAAGCGGTATTTGTGGCTTCCGCCCAAAATATTTTGGCAAATTATTTTCACAAAGCATGGTTCTAGCCATTTATTCTAAAGTTCGATTTTTTCTCTCAACAACTCCATTTTGTTGAGGGGTTCTAGGTGCTGAAAAATTATGGCTAATACCGTTAGAGTTACAAAATTCAGTAAATCCAGATTTTCAAATTCAGTTCCATGATCACTCCTAACACTAGTTATAGTAACCTTTTTCATTTTGGATTACTTTTGAAAACGTGATGAATTGTTCTAATGCTTTATCTTTAGTACTTAAAAATAGAACCCAAGTATATCTAGAATAGTCATCTACCAAGACAAATGCATATTGTTTTCCACCCAAGCTAGTAGTTCTAGTTGGCCCAAAAAGATCTAAATGGATCAATTGTAAAACTCTACTAGTTGATACATAATTAATGGATTTAAAAGAACTCGCTTTGTTTTCCTTTAGCACAAGCATCACAGATTTTATCATTATCAATTTAAGCTTAGGCAACCCTCTTACTAGGTCTCCTTGAATTAACCGTTGCAAAACACTCATACTAGCATGTCCTAGTCTCCTATGCCATAACCAACTATCATGTTCATCCTTAGCAACTAGGCATAAATTAGTCATATCAAAGAATCTAATGCACCATGTATATGTTTCCTATTCTATGACCAACAGCATAATCCGATTAGATGCAATATCAATGACTTTACAACCATTAATTTCAAATAGACATTGAACCCTTATTGCATAATTGACTAATACTCAATAGATTATGCTTTAATCCATTCACATAAACATTTTTAATTTGTATGGAAGAGGTATTACCTATTGTATCAATACCTTCAATGTGACCTTTTGAATTATCTCCAAAAGTCACTTCTCCTCCATTTTTGGCGTTAAGCTCAATGAACCGGCTTTTGTCTCCGGTCATGTCTTGAGCATCCACTATCAAGGTACCATGAATTTGAATTTGTTTCCGTGCCTTGTAGCAATGCTCCTTTCCCTACATAGATTAATTTTTGATTTTTGATACCCAAATTCTTTTGGGTCCATATTCATTAGTTTCCAAAATCCTAGTCCCCTTAGGTATTCATTTGTGTAGGATATTTTTATCTTTAGTAGTAATGAGTTCTTTAGGAACCCACATACTTCTAACGATTTTTCCATTAGAGGTTCTTGGGGACCTCTATGATTGTAGTTTCTAAAACTTTTTCTAACAAAGTTGGATTTTGAATTTCCACCTTTTTCAAAATGTTTTGTTCCAACTTTATCAAAAGAAGTTTTAAGATCATCAATTTTCTTTTGATGATCATCATTGATCTTTGAAAGTAAATTTTGCAAATCTAAATTTTTCTTTTCAAACTCTTCTAGTTTGATTTGCAAATCTTTGATTTTACTTTCAAGATCGTTGTTGGTTTTGGATATGAGTTGTGTTTCATTTTTCAATTTTGAAACATCATTTTTATATTTTAAAAATAATTTATCATAATCCGAAGCCAACCCATTATATTCCTAATAACTCATCATAGGATAAATCATCAAATCGGATGACTTAGAGGTTACCTTAGAATCTTCCCCAAATGCCATCAAGCACAAGTTAGCTACTTCTTGTTCCTCTTCATCGAAACTTTCTTCATCGCTCCATGTAGCCACATGAGCCCTGTGCTTATTCTTTGATTGACCCTTTTTCTTCAATTGTGGGCAATCATATTTGACATGCCCAGGCTTTTTGCATTCGTAGCAAATGATTGGGTCATTCTCTTTCGGTTCATTTTTTAGGCCTTCATTTCGTTTGAATTTTCTTTCTCGATAAGGTCTCATCATTTTTCTGAACCGTTTGGCAAACAATGTCATTTCCTCGTCATCGTCATCGTTATTCGAATCACTCTCATCTTTTGTGGATTTGAGAGCAACTCTAATGTTTTTTCTTCTTCTCCTTCTCCTTTGGTGTCTCGTCAATCTTGTCGAGGTCAACCTCATCTTCGAGCATCATTTCATGAGTCAGGAGTGACCCAATTAGCTCTTCAAGAGTTAAGGACGTTAAGTCCTTAGACTCGATGATTGACGTCTTCTTTGATTGCCATAATTTTAGGAGGGAGTAGACTAACTTCCTCACAAGCTTTTCATTTGAAATGATCTCTCCATATGATTTGAGACCATTGACAATCGTTGAAAATCTATCCGTCATAGCTTTGATATCTTCATTTGGTTTTATCCTGAAATTTTCATAGCTATGTGTTAGAATACTAATTTTTAGATTTCTTTACCTCATCGGTACCTTCATGAGTGACTTGAAGTTTGTCCCATATTTCTTTGGTGGTTGTACACGATGAAACTCTTCCGTATTCATCTGGTCCAAGAGCACAAAAAATGATATGGATGGCTTTGGAGTTGAGCTGGAACATTCTTGTCTCTCCTTCACTCCACAACCTTGGATGAGTGAGAGGTTTGATGTATCCTTCTTCTACAGCATTCCATGCTCCCATGTCACTTGCTTGAATGAAGTACATCATTTTATTCTTCCAATAGGCATAGTTAGCTCCATTGAAGAAAGGAGGCTTGTTGACAGGCATAGAATCGAGACCGGAGTCGAAGTTTGAAGCGGAGGCCATTGATGACTTTGATTATCGATATAACTCTTCTCGAATCGACTCAAGAGGTGATTAAACCTTCAAATAATTTAGGCTCTGATGCAAATTGTTGAGTTAATCGATTGACCGAATCGGCCAAGAGGGGGGGGTGAATTGGCAATAAAAATTTTTGTGGAAGCTTTTGCAGAAAATTGAAAGAAATTGCACAGCGATTTAGAGTGGTTTGACTTTATCAACCAAAGTCTACGTCCACTACCTTAGCTATCCACACTAAGGATTTTCCAACAAATTCACTAATTTGTTCTTTCTTTTGAGGCCAAAGAGATAACCTTACAACTCCCTCAAGAATATACCCCAATTCTTGAGAACACTCTTTTCTCAAAGAGAAATACAAATTTGCAAACTTACAAGAAAAACCTCACAAGGAAAATATGTTTGCACAATTCTAGAACAAAGAAAGAACACTCAAGAATAAATACAATTGAGCACAATAAGTGTTCTTGAAAGCAAAATGAATATTGAATGAAAAATAGGCTTGAAATGCTCAAACTTGAGGTTTGATGCTTTCTCTTTGATTCTCTCTTGATTCTAATTGCTTGATGTTTCTTGTTATTGATCAATGGCTTCTAAGCTTGCTTAAATACACCTTGAATCACTTCTGAACGTTGGGGATGATTAGAGAAAATAATATAGCCGTTTTAGTGTGAAAACAATTAATAAAACAGTTTGGAGCGTGGGGGGAATCGGTACCCCCTATGGGGAATCGATTCCCTAAGTGTAAAATTCAAATATTTCGACCATTATACAAGAGGGGAATCGGTACCCCCTGGGGGGGAATCGGTTCCCTCCGAGCATACTGGAATTCTTCGAGCCAAACTATTCAGGGGGGAATCGGTTCCCTCTGAGCAATCTGGAATTTTTGGCTTTGAAATGGTTCGAAATACTTTGTAAAATTATTTTGAAATTTTTTTAAGTTTAAAACTTAATTTTACACTTTGATTAAGGATTAAAAATGATCTTTGAAAGATTTGGAGTAATGTTTTGATATTCGAATAATTCTATCGAATATACTTAGAAAATCATTTGGAAAATCTTTAAAATTCTTTTAACTTAATTTGTTATATCGAAATATCAAAATGTTTTCAACATGTTGTATATAAAACATGATCATTATGTTATGCTTTTCTTGCCAATGTGGACACCAAATCTGATGCAACTGTTAAATTCAATGGTAATTCATACCTTTTGCCTGCGTGGTATGTCATTATCTTATCAGACTGCAAGAATGTGGTTTTGAACACTGCCAAGGTATGCTTCATTAGAAAATTCGCCACCCATTTCAAGTTTTGTTTAGCTTCATTAGCAGCTTAACCAGCTTGCTTCTTGTTCTAGATTTTCATGCCATAACTAGTCAAGATTCTTTATGACAAGTTTCTTTGAAACATTGGAATGAATAACATAAATAATGTAAAACTAGCCTTTTTATCTTCTCTTACAAAAGGATCATAGCTGGAAATTTAAGTTGTCATTATTTTTGGGTTCATATAACCTAACTCTGCAAAAGAGACTGTCTGAAAACCTCTCTCGCAGTTGTACAATGTATTCCTTCCCCGGATTAGGTCAGTCTTTTAGGATCTCAATCGGCTTTTACCTTTGATCAAATGAAATGGGGGATACATATTTAACAAGCTAACTGCAATGAACCTTCCATATCGGTTGTTAAGTATAATGTGCTAAGTTTATGATTATTTTCACTTCAGAACACTAATCAGATCATTTCTGTAGATTGTGTCAGCTTCATCTGCCATGGATCGCTTGCATTTATATTTACTTCATTATGTCAATTTGTTCTTTCAAGTAACTCATATAGTTTTATTCTTCAAATGACAGGAATCTTGAAGCAAACCAATTTTCGGGCCCTGTACCATCTGCACTTGGGGATTTAGTGAACTTGGAAACTTTGTAAGGAAAAACTCAGTACCTTCTTCTTCTTTGTTTAATATTTTACGATTCTCTTAATTTCTTGTTAAATTAGCCTTGATCAAATGATTTGTTTTCATGCTCATTGTAATTTCAGGATGCTCTCCTCCAATAAGTTAACTCAGAATTTGCTAGTGACATTTAGTTTACTAAGAAATCTAACTGACTTGTAAGTTTCTTCAAATTTTCCTCTATTTTAAACCACGTATATAGACACGTTCATAGGATCAACACTGATGTGTTTGCAAATATTGCATTTATCTTATGTGCAGGAGGATTAGTTATATAAATAGGCCAAGTCAGGATTTTCTTGTGCTCAGAATCATGAAACGCCTACTGACATTGTATGTTTAGTGGTCAAATTATCAAATATTTTGAAGGTTCCATCTATATGACAGAACAGAACATAATCTTGTTATATTTTATAGGGTTTTAAGGAATCTTATATGAAAAACTTTATTATGTCGTGATATTTTCAACACGACACGAATGTGTGTCATCTTTTCTAATGAGTGTGCTTCAATGACATGTAAGTAGTCATAATGCGTGTCATAAATTTATGACACACAAATATGTGTCCTCTTCATTTATGACGGGGGCTTCAATGACGCGCAATGAGCGTCATAAATGCGCGTCATAAATGCGTGTCATAAATGCGTGTCATAAATGTGCGTCATAAATTTATGACGCACAATTGCATGCCATCTGAGATTTATGTCGGTGGCTTCAATGACAGGCATTTATGTGTCATCCGTACCCAAAGATGACGCGCAATGCGCATCATTAAAGGGGATTTTTCTAGTAGTGGGAAATGATTTTTATGATTTGTTAAAGTATGGAAGATGATGAAAGTTGTAGTTTGGATGAAATAGAAATATGGTGAAGGTATGGATTGTTATTGGTGTGGATGTGTAAAATAGATTGAAATGAAGGCAAATTGTGACCCGTTAGTTATATGGAGTTAAGAACTAGCAATATAAAGTGATGGAAAATAGAAGTGAAAGAGGGTGGAATATGACCCACTTGCTATAGAAGAGCTAAGAACCAAAGCTATAAACAAATGAATGGTTGAAGACCACAAGACTAACTTGAAGTCGATATAGTTCTTCAAAAGAACTAGAATGAAAGCACTCACAAAGATGTTTTATATATAAGAACATTGTGTGATTACAAAGGCAATGGATGTGCCTATTTATAGTGTTGATAGATACCATCTAAAGAGTCTTACAAATGGTGTTGAATGCTTCACCTTAAAGGTGATGAATGCACTTTATTAGCTTGTCTTCTCTTCTATGTTTATGTGGTCGATTATCATAGTGTTCTTAGGAATTTGGACTTAATTAAGGATGAATATGTCCTTATTTTCGCCCAAAAGAAGGAATGCTCCTGAAATTCCATGGCTTGCTTCCTTTTGAAATAGTAAAGGATGAATGTGGACACCTTGATGAATGTAGACACCCTGCAAGTCCAAAGAAGAGAGTATCTTGGTATTTTAAGCTAATTCACAAAGCATTCATCCTTCTTGAATTTCATAACTGTTGGTTTAAAATAGCCTTCATTGCATGTCTCTTTCGGAAGTCAAATGGCCTCTCGATGGGATGATAAAAATACCTTGAATGCCTTGATAAGATTACCTTGAATGCATAAATAAAGAGGGCCTTAATAGCTTGTCTCTTTGATAAATTTTAAAGGTTTTTTCCTTGGCTCAAACTCATCCAAATCATCCATGCAAAAAATTCCTATAATGAAAATTTTAGATTGCATTGTCTTCGATAAATTAATCATATCTCAAGGTCTCGATATCATATTCAAGTGATTCAAAAGGAGTTGGAAAGCTAAGAGATAGAGGAATAATATCCAATTGATTTTTGGACCCAAACACATTTGTATCGTATAAAAAATGGAATACATTATGATTGATATTCTTTCATTTATTATAACTGTTCAAGTCCCATCATGCACCTAGACACAAAATTAGAAATTGTTCATGCTAAAATGAAATGAGAATTAAACATGTCATGCAAACATTAAAGTAGATACTTTAATGAATGAAATAGTTTAATTAGTGGACTAGCTTTATTGAATGATCCAACATACTTAAATGAAGTAGTTTGCTTAAAACAACTAATGTCTTAATGAACTACATGATTGTATTAAAAAAAACTACATGTATAACCCCTTAGACCCGGTATGGACGTTATGCCCAAATCTAAGCGGCTACATATCGTATTAAAAAAATTATTTTCATATTTAAAACAACGTTAAAATCTATATAACATTATAATATGAAATTAGTCATAAGAAAGGTTTATACGATACACACACACACACACATATATATATATATATGTTATCGTATAAACCTTTCTTATGACTAATTTCATATTATAATGTTATATAGATTTTAACGTTGTTTTAAATATGAAAAGAAATATATATATATATATCAGAAAAACCTTATAAAACACATACAAAACAAAATATCGATAATACAAATATATCGAGATGGTAGAAAAACACGTGGCACCAAAGTATAACAAAAAAACATATAGAGATATATATTGGTACAAAATAAGAGTAGACGGTCCTCCTGATGCCAAATCAGCTACTATCTAAAAATGTTAAAATTTACAGAATGAGCTAAACAGCCAGTGTGCTCCTTATTGTCTATAAAAACATACAGATCAAATATTTCAATAAAAACAGTTTATCAAACATGTTTAAAATATGACCACTACCCCTATTCGATCACCAGAATGTGTAGGTTCCCCAGAACCATACACTCACATGTACACCCGGTAAGGCCTTATACATATAGCATAAGTATCTACGGTAAGGACTTACCCTGAGCACAAAGCATAGGAGCCTACGGTAAGGATTTACCTTGAGCACAAAGCAGACGAGCTTGCGGTAAGGTCTTACAAGTCATAGACTAGGCCTGATATATTTCCTCTAATAATACCCCCAATGACAATAATAAACATGTATGTATTCTAGTGAAAATAGTAGTTTAATCTATTAAAACATGAAAATATTCTAGAATCATAAATCAGATATAGAAATACAAAAATCAGAGATCATATCAGAAATATACAGTAAAACAAATATTAGGTAAACAATATTTAGAAAATCATGTATCGTGTTGTAAAAATATTTAGTATTATAAAAAATCTAAATAGTTCAGATGAATAGTTTATAACAGTAATGTAACACCATAAGGAAACACACCTGTACCGGTATGAGTAGTCTGATAAGAAAGCCTACTACTGAGTCTGTCGATCACAATCAACGGCAACGCTAGATCCTACGAATTAGAAAATCCATATCGAAATTCAAATATAAATAATAATGACCTATATTTAAATAATTTACAGAAACCCACGAGTAACACTCAAAGAACGCGGATTAAGAGATCTGACGGATGAGAAGCACTAGATCTAACTGACCCTCAGTCGGGTGAAACACGAGTACTTTCATAAAAATATTTTCTCGAATCAAATCCATAACCAAATCTCAAATAACAAGTAAAAATGTTAAAAATACTAAGCATTTTTAGATTAACGGGCTTGATTCAGGGCTTTTGGGTCAGAATTTGAAAAAACATAACGCAAAATCAAACTCAAGACATAGAAAAATGTCAAAATGGAGGTTTTCAAAAAAAGTCAAGGTCGGTCAATGGTCAACGATCAACGATTAATGGTTGACCAATTTCGTTCAGGTTGGGTCTGACACGGGTCGGGTCGGGCAGGCAAGTCAGGTCGGGTTGGCCCATTATCAGGCAGCCCACCAGGTGGTGGAATTTCCCCACACGCAGTGACGACGTGTACGGGGCCTTACGAGATCAGAAAAATTATGAAAAAAAATTTGTAATGCATTTTAAGGGGTTTTGAGACACTTGCCAAGCTTGGTTCATAGCAATGAACGGTGGAGAGCTCGATTTTGAAATGTCATAAACATGGCCTTTCTCACCCCCTCACACGCTGGTGCCAATGGAGACAAAATGGACATTGGTGGACTCGAGACGACGCAAGGAACACGATAGTGCAGGAGGTGTCAAAAATGGATGAACGGTCAGCGATGAAACAATGATTGAAGTTTCTTTCTAAAAATAAGAAAGCTTAAAGAAAGAGAATTGGGTTTCTAAATGAGGAAAGTTTCCAGATTTAGGGGTTATTTATTCCGTAAAAATAAAAATGGTAAAATTACACTATACATCCTCTAATTTTTATACTTTTTAAATTTAGATATAAATTTAATTAAAATTTCACTTTGGCACATGAATTTAATTAAAATTTTAATTTAGTCCTCGAAAGAATTTTAAGAAAATTTGTAGGCCCTAAGTTGAGGTGTGACAACTCTCTCCCCTTAAAAGAAATTTCATCCTCGAAATTTACCTGATAGAAATAGATGTGGAAACTGAGCCTCTATCAACTTTAATGTCTCCCAAGTAGCTTTTGAGGGTCCATGGTTACTCCATTGAACTTTGACAATTGGAATATGTCTATTCTGAATAACTCTCTCATTTTGATATAAAATCTTAACGGGCTCTTCCTCATAGGACAAATCAAGTCTCAACTCTACCTCTGCAATCTGAATGATGTGACCTGGATTTGGATGATATCGTCTCAATATGGATACATGGAAAACATCATGCATGTGACTGTGATGGGGAGGTAAATCAAGATGATAAGCAACAGGTACTACTTTCTTCATAATATGATACGGTCCAATAAATATCGGGCCCAATTTACCCTTACTTCTAAATCTCAATACTTTCTTCCATGGAGATACCTTTAGAAAGACCTGATCCCCAATCTCAAACTAGATATTCTTCCATTGTTGATATACATAATATTTATGCCTATCAAACACCTCTCTCAGGCGATCGCGAATCAATCTAATAATATTTTTAATTTCTTTAACTAGCTCTGAACCCAAAGTCTCCTTATCATGCAACTTTATCCAACAGATAGGAGTACGACATTGACGTCCATACAGAGCCTCATATGGTGTCATGTGAATACTTGTCTGGTAACCGTTATTGTAAGTGAACTCGAATAAAGGCAAAAAATCTTCTCAACTACCATGAAAAATCAATCACACAACCCCATAGCATATCCTCCAGCACCTGAATCACTCACTCAGACTGACCATCAGTTTGTGAGTGGAAAGTTATATTGAAATTCAAATGAGTACCCAGAGCCTCGTGCAAATCCTTCTAGAACCTAGAAATAAACCTCAGATCTCGGTCAAAGATGATGGAAAATGGAACACCATGGAGTCTAAAATCTCATATATATACAATTTAGACAACTTGTCCAAAGAATAAATAAACTGAACATGAATAATATGAGCTGACTTGGTGAGTTGATCCACAATCACCCAAACAAAATCATTTTTGGAAGGAGTCAGAGGAAAATTGATAATGAAGTCCATCGTAATACGCACCCACTTCCACTTAGTAATCATAATAAACTACAACAGTCCCGACAGATGTTGGTGTTATGCCTTAACCTGCTGAAAAGTCAGACATCTCACCACAAAATCTAAAATATCTTTCTTCATGCCACTCTAAAAGTATCGCTCTTTGATATTTTTGTATATTTTGTCCCCACCAGGATGCATAGAATAAAGACTACTATGAGCCTCATGAATAATAGCCCGTCTTAACTCATCATCTTTAAGGATGTAGTAACGACCATGAAAGCACATAATACCATCCTGATCAAAAGTATACTCTGAACTCGTTCTCTGCTCAACATGCTCAATAATGGGAAGTAAGGAGCTGTATAGGAGTTGTTTGGCCTTAATCTTATTGGCTAAAGTGGGTTTAACCTGTAACTTTGTTAACAGGCTACCATCATCAAACAAACTCAAACTGGAAAACAAGACTCTCAGATCGGATATCGCCTTAAGGCTCAAGGAATCTGCCACCACATTAGCTTTCCCTGGATGATACTCTATCTTATAATCATAATCCTTTAGAAGCTCCAATTAGCGACGCTACCTCAAATTCAACTCTCTCTGAGTAAGTAGATACTTCAAACTCTTATGATCGATATAGATATAACATTTTTCTCCGTAGAGATAGTGTCTGCAGATCTTCAAAGCAAAAACCACAGCACTAACTCCAGATCGTGAGTGGAATACTTGCACTCATGCCTCTTTAATTGACGTGACACATAAGCGACAACCATCCCATCTTGCATAAAAACATATCCTAATCCATAGTGAGAAACATCACTGTAGACAAAAAATCCTTCACAAACTTAGACTGAATCAACATTAGAGCTTGAGTCAAAACAATCTTCAATTTCTCAAAGCTAGCTTGTTGGTCTTCTGACCAGACACATGGAACATCTTTCCTTAACAGTTTTGTTAGACGAGCTGCAATAATGGAGAACCCCTCAATAAAGCGAAGGTAATAACCATCTAAGCCTAAGAAACTATATATTTCTTAGACGTTATTGGGTTGCTTCCAATTCAGAATATCCTCCACTTTACTCGGATCCACCTTGATACCCTTAGAAGAAACGATATGCCCAATAAAAGCCACTTCTCTAAGCCATAACTCACAGTTGCTCAACTTGGCGTATAACTTGTTTTCCTTCAGAGTCTAGAGAACAATCCTTAAATGATCATCATGTTCTGCTTTAGTTCGAGAATGCACCAGTATGTCATCGATGAACACAACTACAAATTGGTCCAAATAAGGTTGAAACACCTGATTCATCATATCCATAAAAGTATAGCGGCATTAGTTAACCCGAATGACATCACTAAAAACTCATAATGAACATATGAAGTACAAAAAGTAGTTTTTGGAACATCAAAATCCTTCACCTTGAGTTGGTAATAACCATATCATAAGTCTATATTTGAAAAGATAGAAGCCCCTCGAAACTGGTCAAACAAATCATTGAACCTATGAAGAGTATATTTGTTTTTAACCGTGAGCTTATTCAGTTTCCTATAATCAATATAGAGTCTCAATGTCCCATATTTTGTTTTGACAAAGAGAATTGGGGCTCCTCATGGTGAAACATTGGGTCGAATAAATCCCCTATCCAACAACTTCTAGAGTTGGACTTTCAGTTTCTTAAGCTCTTTTAGGGCCATATGGTACTGAGTCATCGAAACCGAGGTGGAACGGGAATAGACTTCAATCTCAAAGTCAACATCAAGTGGTAATCCAGATAACTCTTATGGGAAAACATCGAGAAATTCCTTAATATTCTGGATGCCTTTAATGTCATATCAGGAATCCTAGTATCTAGAATATAAACAAGAAATGCCTTGGAACCCTTCCTAATCATCCTCTCATCTACCAAGGCAGACACTACATTTTTCAGGAATCCATGACATTCCCCGAATCATCATAATCTTTCGGTTATCTAGAGTCTTCAGAACAGCTCTCTTGGTCTCATAATCGAGATTAACTTAATGTTTGCTCAACCAATCCATGCCAAGAATCAAGTCAAACTCCTCCAAAGGTAACTCCATTAGATCAGCCAGAAAGATCTCCCTATAGATCTCTATAGGACACCCTCTATAAATATGATCTAACTCTATGAACTGACCTACGAGACTCTGAAATCTCAGTATTATCAATCAGGATATTAAGACCCTCATAAATGGAATGCGACATATAGGGATAGGTATAACCATTATCAAATAATGAAAAGTAGGGAACATAATAAATAGTAATAGTACCTGCAATCACATCAAGCTTAACGTGGTTTTATCGACATCTAGTAGCGTAAACCAATGAAGGTTGTTTGGCCTCAAATCTGACTAGACCCCTACTCTGAGAAGCTCAGCCTTTACTAGTCGATCCTGATGTTCTCTCCAGATTACATCCCCTTACTAGAGTCTAAACTATACTCTGAGTACGAGCTGGTATCTGAACTATATGAGCATACTCTAAACAATCTCTCAGGAGATGTCACCAGAACCAAATCTAAAATAGGTACCCAAGTTCTTCCTACATTCACCAAAATGACGTCTCCCACAGTGCTTATATGACAGTAAAGGTTGCAATCCAGAAGAACCACCATGAATAGAAGGCATCATAGCTGACGAAGTTTACGCCACAGGCTTGGCACTCGTACCGCCTCTCTAAAAAGACTCACCCCTGCCTCTCTTGGTTGGGCATGCAGAAGAGTCAACAGAACAGAAGGCCTTCTGAATCAGTCAGTCTCGATCTCTATCTCTCATGCGCTCTATACCCACTCGCTCTATCTCCTCAGCGGTCTTGGTTATCTCAACCAATGCTTCAAAGTTTCTCTCCCAGTGGGTAGAAACTCAACTACGGATCTCATACCTAAGTCTATTCTCGAACCTCAAACACCAATCTAATTTAGTCTCAAAAGTTCAGTAGAATAGTGGCTTAACGTGATAAACTCAGTCTTATAATCCATAACAGTCATATCACCCTGCTCTAAATTCTGAAACTCATGGCGCCGCTCATGCAAGTATCTCTCTCTGATGTAGCGACTCCGAAAATGTTCATTGAAAAGATTCCAAGTCAATTGATTTCCTGGATTATTACCGAAAATCGATTGCCACTATCCAAAACTCTCTTTCTTCAGTATATCTAGGGCCCCCTTTAATTTTTCCTCAGGCCTTAGATCCATCTTAGCCATAATCCTCTTTGTATCCTCCAACCAATACTCAGCGTCAGTCAGAGGTCCACCAGTAATTCCCTCGAACGAAACTACTCCAGCATCTACCAAAGACTTCAAAATCTCAATCATAAACATATTACTATGGACTCAAGCAAGTTTCCTGAACATACGAAAGACACCTCTATTAATGGCATCCTCATCCATATCAGAGTCCTCGTCTTCACTGAATTATCTCTGGGAATAGGCGGATCTACATGCGAAACAAGAGGATCTTGCGGTGACATTGGATCATCTATAGTAAAAGAAGGTCGAGTCACTCGCACTCGACCATGGCCTGGCCTACGAACTCTAGCAGCACTCATAGGATAAATATACAAGGCTCTACAGAAAGAATTTGAACCTGAGTTAGACTAGCAACAAGAATCTCAAATATATTTAAACTTATAAAATAAAGTGACATGATTTTTGAAAATATAAAATATCTTGAAAATCCAGATTTTATGACTCATCCACAGTCCAAGTGTTTAAAGCAAATAGCACTGATACCAGTAATACAAATATATCGAGATGATAGTAAAAACACGTGGCACCAAAGTATAATAAATAGGCATATAGAGAAATACAGTGGTAAAATAATAGGAGTAGTCAGTCCTCCTGATGCCAAGTCTGTTAGCCTATGGTCTGCTACTATCTAAAAAGGTTAAAATTTACAAAATAAGCTAAAAAGCCCAGTGTTCTCTTTATGGTATATAAAACATACAAATAAAATACTTCAGTAAAAAAATAGTTTATCAAACATGTTTAAAAATATGACCACTACCTCAATATGATCACCAGAATGTGTAGGTTCCCCAGAACTATACACCCACATGTACTCCTGGTAAGGCCTTATAAATATAGTATAAGGACCTACGGTAAGAACTTACCCTGAGCATAAAGTAGAGGAGCATGTGGTAAGGACTTAACCTGAGCACAAAGCAGATAAGCATGTGTTAAGGTCTTACAAGTCATAGACTAAGCCTAATATACTTCCTCCAATAATACCCCAAATGACAGTAATAAACTTGTATGTATTTGAGTGAAAATGGTAGTTTAATCCATTAAAACATGACAATATTCCAGATACAGAAATCATATATAGAAATACATAAATCAAAGATCATATAAAAAATGTACAGTAAATAAGATATAAGATAAATAATATTCAGAAAATCAGGTATTGTTTCATAAAAATATTTAGTATTATCATAAATCTAAAACAATTCAGATGAATAGTTTAAAACAGTAATGTAAAACCATCAAGAAACACACTTATATTGGGATGAGTAGTTTGATAAGAAAGCCAACTACTGAGTCTGCCGATCACGATCAACGGTAATGCTAGATCCTACAAATTAGAAAATCCATATTAGAATCCTAATATGAATAACAATAACCTCTTTTTAAACAATTTACAGAAACCTATGAGTAACTCTCGAAGAAAGTGAATCTAGCAAATCTGATGAACGGGAAGCATCATATCTAACCGACCCTTGGTTGGGTAAAACACAAGTACCTCATAAAAATATTTTCTCTAATCAATTCCATAACCAAATCTCAAATAAATAAGCAAAAATGCTAAAAATACTAAGCATTTTTGGATTAATGAGATTGATTCAGGGCTTTCAGGCCAGAATTTGGCAAAACGAATCACAAAATCTGACTCAGGACGTCAAAAAATGTCAAGATAGAGGTTTTCAAAAAAATTCAAGCCAGTCAATGATCAACATTCAACAGTCGGTCAACAGCTGGCTGGTTTGGTTCATGTCGGGTCGAACATAAGTCGGGTCAGAAAGGCGAGATGGGTCGGGTCATCAAGCAGCCCACCAGGTGGTGGAATTTTTCCATACATGTGGGGGAGTATGTGGGGGCACGTGCGGGGCCTTACGGGGTCTGAAAAATTACAAAAAAAATTATAATTCATTTTAAGGGGTTTTGAGACACTTACCAAGCTTTGTTCACAGCGGTGAACGATGAAGAGCTAGATTTTGAAACGTCATAAACTTGGCCTTTCTCACTCCCTCACACGCCAGCAAATGGACACTGGTGGACTCGGGATGACGTAAGGAATACGATGGTGTGAGAGGTTTCAAAAACGGAGCAACGGTCGACAATGAAACAAAGAACGAAGTTTCTTGCTAAAAAGAAAGCTTAAAGAGATATAATGGGGTTTCTAAATGAGAAAACTTTATAGATTTGGGGTTATATTCCCTAAAAACAAAAATTAGTAAAATTATACTATAAGTCTTTTAGTTTTTGATACTTTTTGAATTTGGATCTGAATTTAATCAAAATTTCACTTTGACCCTTGAATTTAGTTAAAATTTCAATTTAGTTCTCAAAAGATTTTTAAGAAACTTTTTGGGCCCTAAGTTAGGGTGTGACAACATGCTTTAATGAACTAAATGCTAAAACGAACTAATTAAAGTACATGCTTGAATGAAGAACATGCTTATTTATTCATGCAATTTAATGTCATGCAACTAATAAACTCATGCAAATTCATGCACAAGTAAAAATCATGCAATGAATGATTTCATATGATAAGCATATCCTAAGAGGCAAATGCAAACTTATGATAAGATATAGTGCATAAACGAGCAAGTATATGATGAAGTAAGGTAGAAATCCCTTAAAATTAACCTTAGTGAACTTCAATGATTTGATCATATCAAAAATAAAATTGGGGCTGATTGGAATCACATCACATAATCATATTGGACATAGTGGTAGACATAATTTTCGATGGAGGATCGATTGACTCTGGAATGAACTGGATTATGAATATTGAAATTCTTAATTACAATCATTGTTTCGTCTTTGGTTCAGAACTTCATTCCAATATATAACTAACCATCATTGACTGATGAGTTGAATCCATAGTCCCTAACACTCATACATTACGTCATAATCAGCTTCATACATGTGTGTTGGAGGCTCGATTTGTTTAGTATTTATGGGAACTTCATCTATATAATCATTGGAGTCCATGTTGAATTATGGTGATTCTGGTTTAACGAATAATTTAGTGTCAATGTCATCTGCACTTGGCTCATGAATAGGTTCTTCTGGTAGAGATGAGGGTTTCTCTTTGATTTTGATGTTTAAGTTGAACAAGTTTTCATATGAGTGCCTTCCTCTTAAATTGGAAGGCATTGTGTCATATGGGTTTTGAACTGACTGATGTATCGAAGGCATCTCCATATTAAGGTTGAAGAAGTTGGTAGATAAATTCCTCCCCTGGGGAACTTAAAGACAGTGTCATATAGGTATTGAACAAATTATTGTGTTGTGAAGGCATCTCTATATTGAGGTTAGAGAAGTTGGTAGATGAATACATTCCCCTTGAACTATAAGGGTTGTTGCCATATGGATTATTCATGGAACCAACTCGATAAAGATCGTAACTAGTTGTTGATGAATGCCTCGCCATTGAACTTGATGTAACTTTACCAGAAGGTTGATTTTCCATTAATAATGTGAAAACATTATAGATTATTTGAGTTGGGATTTCAACTTGATCAACTTGATGAGCCAAACCATAGTGGGAGCACAATGACATACCACGAATCACAAGCACTTCAATAAATATGGCATACATTTCTATAATAGACTCTAAATTTTGATTTTGAGCATCAACCATCAAAGCAACATTATCATTGGATAGATTAAATGTTCTATATGTTAATGGAAAAAGTTTAGTCAGAAATTTTTATTGAAGTGAAGACAGTCTTTTAGTACTTCCAACGCGAGCCTTCCTTGAAATTTTTGTGATTAATGACAACTCTCTGAAAGAATTATCTTTTTTAACCTTTTTCACCTAGGTTTAGTTTGAACTTGAGCGTTTTAGGTGCATATTTGTTAAATTAACACATTATACATATTGAGGGTTTTTTGGGCTACCTGGGATAAATTTGATTTTTGCTACAAAACTATACACTGATGTTGTTGTAGTATTGCACGCAAGAAATATTGAGTGGAAGCTACAAAAATTGATGTAACTCTAGATAGTTAGGTGAATGTTGTGGATTGGACACCTGACTTGGGCAGCTATAAATGGGATGGATACCACCTGAAACGTGGATGTATTTCATTGAGGATAAAAATTGCCTCAAATATATAAATAGGAGTACTTTGAATGCTTGGAACGAGACAATTGAGAAATTATTAGGAAGTACTCATTTTGTACATTGGTTCTTTACAATCCATGGAAGCTTAATTCTCTTACAGGGATTACTGCAACAAGAGTAGTTTCATCTGAGTAGCATCGACAGCCAGCAAATCACCATTCAAAGCTTTCTATTGAGAGAGAGTGATTTGAATGTTCTTTAAACTTTGTGGATGATATTTTGGATTGACTATTCTTGTGTTTATTTTGATACTACTTTTTATGTGCTTGTTGCTTCATGATTATTAGTAGAAATACTTTTAATTAAATGTATGGTATTATGATTATTGTCTAGAAATAGATTTGATTGCTTTACTGTACACTTTTGATAGCATTGGTATTGCTGAAGAGTAGTGAGTTTTGTTAATACTTTGATATCTTTGATTAAAAAAGTTATTAAAGTATATCAAGGGGTCTTAATTATTGTTAATCACATAAGAGTAGTGTTTATTATTTACTTAATATAAGATGTTGAATATATCATTTTTCTGTGATTTGATAGATATCTTAGTGTTCTCTGGTTGTTGTAGCATAATGTGGTGTTTATTATCTTGATTTTATTATCCTATTTAGAAAATGTTTTCATATTGATTAAGCTTTAAACTCTAATGAAGATCATTTTTCTCTATGTGGATTCGATACTTGTAGCTCTCTGAGTTACCACTTATTACTTGGTCATTGGTATACACTTGCACTTAAGCTGTAGCAATTAACCAGGCATCAAGTTTTTGGTGTCGTTGCCGAGGAGCATCATTTTGATTTAGAGTTTTCTGTATTTTTCTTACATTGTTATTTTTTGTAGGTATTTGTTAGTTTTTACTTTTACTAGTTTATGCCCAGAACCAACGATGATTTAGATCCGTTTGATCTAGAAATTAAAAGGACTTTTAAACAATGTCGCCGCGAAGTTGCGAGAAACACACCAATTATGGCTAGACCAGGGAATGTTGCTATGCTAATGCTCCAGCATGGAGAGGATCGGGAGTTCCCTGTTAGCATTGAAGTAGGACATCTATTTCATAACATGGATGATAAAAACTAACCTATTCGTGAACATGTAGTCCTGAAACTAGATGATAAGCATCAAGGCATCATGAGGTCAGTGATTAATGCTACGAACTTTGAATTAAAGTCAATCATATTCCAAATGTTACAATCTATGGCACAGTATGGATGGTCTATTGTTGAAGATCCTAAAGCTCATCTGAGAGTTTTCATGGAGGTTTGCAATTCATTTATTTAGTAAGGTGTTATGGAGAAGGCACTAAAGCTGAAGTTATTTCCTTATTCGCTACGTGATAGAGCACGAACTTGGTTGAGTTCACTACCTCTAGGTTCTATAGCATCCTGGAATCAACTAGCACAAAATTTTTTAATAAGATTTAATTCATCGAATATGAATGCCCAGCTTAGAAATGTGCTAAAGTCTTTCAAGGAAATGGATGATGAAAGCTTATATAAGGCTTGGGAACGATTTAAGGAGTTGCTAAGAAATGTCCTATGCATGGTTTTCCACATTGAACTCAAATGGAGATATTTTAGAACGGGATAAATATTTACACACACATATGGTAGTTGATGCTTCAGCGAATGAACCTCTGTTAGATAAGACATACAATGAAGGATACGACTTCTTGGAAAGGGTCTCAACTAATGATTGTCAATATTTGAATACAATGAGCATGTTTTGACAAAGGAATGCTGCAATAGTAGATTTTGAAGCTTTTAACTCTATGCATCACAGATTTTAGCATTGCTGGATATGGTAAAGAAATTGCAAAAAACAAGATGAATGTATGAAGTTAAGACTGTAGCACTCATCATTTGCGTTTATTGTGGCGATAATCACAACTTTGATGAATACCCACAAAATCCAGAGTCTGTTTATTATGTGCAAAATTATCAAATGAATGGCAATACTTTCTCCAACACATATAATGTTAATCTCAAGAATTACCCTAATATTTCCTAGAGAATTCAGAACATTGCTAATCTGCAACAACAACATTATCAGCAGTGGCATTATAATAGATAGGAACCATTACCACAACTACAAGCACGACAACAAGTTGCTCAGCCACTACAAAATCAATCATATATAGGTCAATATATTTTACACAATCTTCCACTTTATCATCTCTTGAAGGTTTGATGAAAGTGTATATGGAGAGCCAGTCAAAATCATTAAGAGCTCTAGAGAATTAAATAGACCAAATGGCTAATGCTCTAAATAATCAGTTACAAGAAATACTGCCTAGCGATATAGAGAATCTGAAGCAGCATTATAAGGCTATCACCACAAGAAGTGGAATTCATATTGGGGAGCCATTTGAAAAATAGAAAAATGATGATGAAACTTAAAAGGGAAAAGGCAAATAAGTTGAGTTATAGCCACAAATGAGCCATACTACAACATCCAACCCAGGACAGTGTAGTAATTCAGACTGTAACATCCTCAATACCGGGTTAGTGACTAAATTGTAAAATTTTAGAATTTGGTGATTAAAGTAGAATAGTTGAATAGTTCAATGATTTATTGGGGAATATTTCTTAAAAGTTGTTAGTAATTATTCAAGGAATTAAAGGGAAAAATGGTCATTTGACAAGAAAGATATTTTTCCCCTTATATGAATGAATCACGTGGGGGAAGAGTTGTCTTCTTATTCTTTCTTTCTTCTCTTCTCTTCATCGTGAACCCCTAAAGGCAAAGGTGAGTTTCTTTTTTGGTTGATTATTTGTTGATTTAAAGTTTAGGTTTTGATCATTAGATGATAATTAAGCTTAAGTTATCTTAAAATCAAAAGATAAAGGAGTTAGGGAAGATTAAAGATTTGGAGTTCTTGAGTGAAATCTTGAAATATAGTTGATAAGTTGAATTTGAAACTAAATTTGACTTGTCATCAACTTAATTAAGAGATATGAAGTGATAGAATTGAATTTAGAGTATACTGAAAATTTGGTATGATTATTGATTTTTATATGGAGAATAGGATTTTGAGGTTTGACTGTGATAAATGACTAGAAATTGGTTAAGTATGTATATTTGAGTTAAGAATATGAAAAGGAATGAAACATGAAGAATTGAAGCTGGAAATAGTGAATTTTTGTGCATGAATAGTGATATTTGGGCAAAATTTACAGATTTCTATAAGGGTACCGATACCTTAGGGAGGGTATCGATACCCCCTAAAGAAAAAAATGGAATTTTGGTTCATTAAACTAGTTTGAGTTATTAACATCAAGTTATAAGGTTTAGGCTTATGATATCATCTAGAAAATTATGTTTATTTAGATATTGAGCCTAAAAAAGTTCCGAAACAATCAAAGAATTAGAATCGAATCAAAGCAAGGCTAAGGTGAGTGCAATTTAATTTGTACTTAGGTTATTCAACAAACATTGGCTTGCGATGAGCCAATGACAGAGTTATTATAGTAAGGAGTAATTTCTAAAATGTTATGTGATCTTTATGTGTGCATGAGTACATGAAAATGTGTATATGTGTCATATGTTATTATATGTAATATGTGATATTGAATTACATAAATATATATGAAAAATATGATAGCAATTATGTGATATGCATGATATGTTATCTTATGTGCTATGTGATGTATATATGAATATATGTGAATAATATATGACATGTATATGAACAAAGGAGAAATGATATAAGCTATATGAAACCACTTACGTTATTCCATGCAAGTGATATGAAATATGTGGCATATAAATATGCAATATGTGATACATGTTATATGATAAGAGATAGATGGTTACGAATACATGTGGTATGTGACAGAAGAAAAGAAATATGTGATCATAAGAGCAATGATATGAACTATTATAAATGATAATGCCCATGTCATATGATATGAGAGCTATAGGTATAGTTAGCATGCCAAGAGTCGAGGGTCTACGCGGTCCTTCGGGACAACTCATAGGTCTTTCGGTGAATATGGACAACCCATAGGTCTTTCGGGACATATTCACAGGTCTTTCGGGAAAAATTCCATATACCACTCAGTGGGACTTAAACGAGCTGTGGTGACAACAATAGTGCACAACCTCAATGTACTCGAATACCTTAAAGTTCTTAATAATGTACATGGGCTAATAAAGAGATTAAACAAATATACTAAATGTGATATGTATATGTGATTTGTTATATGGAATAAATTACATATTCATGTATTGGTTATATGAAAGGATATATGTTTTTAATTATATGAAATGTATTACATGAATTATATGATGTGTATAAATGATAAATATATGATTATACGATAAAAGATATTAATCATAATAATAGGATAATGATAAGAAAGAAGATAATCATATATGTACATGTATGGATTTTATATATGAATAGAAATATGTTGGTGTATGATATGATAGTAGTAATTATTCATGCATGATTATAAGTTAGAGTTACTATTATATGTTTATATGCCTCACTAAGTCATAGACTTAACGTGTGATTGTTTCACACGTAGGTTTCGAGAAGAGAAAGATTGATAAAAGTTATGCAAGACAGGTCAGTTCCTCCTTTCCAAAGATCATATCAGAAAATAATTAAATAGTATGTATTTTGTAATAATGATAATGTTTGGCATGTAATAAAGATTTGAATCCGATATGCTATAAATGGTTTGTAAAATCATATGATTGAGTTTTGAAATGTTTTAAATGTGTATATGTAAATGGTAATTTTATACGGATGAAAACTTAGATTTTTGTGAATTTATACATATTTTACGAAAGTACTGTAGCAGTATTGTAGCAGGGTATCGGTACCTATAGCAGGGGTATCGATACCCCTCAAGTAATCTGAAAAAATTTTAACATTCGCTACTGTTCACAGTACTATTCATACCATATAGTATTGTTCATAAAAACGTATATTTTCTTAAATTGGTTATAATGAACATAATTCAACAATATTTTATCATATTTTCTTAATAAAAGTCCAAATGATATGTTATTTTGTAAAAGTAAAGGTTTTGAAATGTCAATGTGACATGTCAGACTCGTATTCGGGTCGGATACGAGTTGGAGTGTTACATTTAATGGTATCAGAGCTACGATTTAGCCGATTCTAGGCTAAAAATGAAGTTAAAAGTGTTTTAAAAAGTATACATGCCAACACAAAGTGGGAAAAAATTTGATCTGATAGTGTAAGGAGTGTAATGTCTTGTTAATGAGTTAAATTATTATGTTATATTAGATTTATGATCATAAGAGCTTCCAAAGTGAAGCACAGGGCGATATACCTGAAGGTAATAGCATGCACCTGCCCTGTCCAGGTAGGGAGAAGAGCGAACACCTCAGGGAGTGTCTATATAAGATTAGAGAATGTTTTCATGATGTGGAATGATATTTTGATGTGTTTTCTATTTTCCACTTCTTTAACTCATAGAATGAATGTATCAAAATACTTTAAAGAGTTTAAAGCACTCGAGCTCAAGGGTGAAATTGAGGAAGGTTCTGTTGTTACAGACCTTTAGTTAAATGATATGAAGATAATGTTAGAAGTTTTCATTTCTCCAAAGTGAAGAAGTTAAATTGAGTAATTCGTTACTACATGGGCAAGCTAGAGTATGGTGGACAAATGTCACCATAAGAGTGTTAAAAGATCAAGTGACGTAGTTATTGTTTGTAGAAGAATTCAAGAATAAGTAAATCGATGACCAGTTTATAAGACAAACAAATCTAGAATATATGAGCTTGATGCAAGGGAATTACACGTACATGTGTATGAATGTAAGTTTAATAAGTTAAGCATATGTGTTGCTGAGTTAATTTAGACTGAAAAGAGATTCAAGTGATTTGATGTTTAGGGCTTGCGCCTTAAATTTAAAGAATGTTACTGGTTTTGAATTTGTTCTCATTTCAAGAAATGGTTAATCACGTTAAAGCTCTAGAGAGAGCTCAAAATGAAAGGATCGGAGAACAAAAATCTCAGATGATTAAGAAAATTAGTGCTTCATAAAGTTAAGCACCATCAAAGAAAGGTAGAGATTATGGTTTTCAACTTTAAATCAGATATGAATTAGTTGTATTCTCCTCCAGAGAATAAAGCTAATTAGTTCAGACATATTGAAAATTATAGTATTAAAGGAACTTTATTGTTTTGAAATAGAATAGTTTCTTTACAGCATGGACAAGATAAAGTAGAGGGGATGGATGTTAATTAGAGAATATTAAAAGACCAAGGAATGGAGAATATTGTTTTGGAATGGTTTAAGAATATGTATATCAGTGATCAGTTATAAGACAAATGTAAATGGAATAGTTGAATTTGAACCAAAGGAACTGTAGCAGGGTATCGGTACATGTAGCAGGGGTATCGATACCCCTAAAGCAATCTGAAAAAAATTTAACACTCGGTACTGTTCATGGTACTGTTCATACCGTATAGTATTGTTCATAAAAACGTATATTTTCTTAAATTGGTTATAATGAACATAATTCAACAATATTTTATCATATTTTCTTAATATAAGTCTAAATGATCTGCTATTTTGTAAAAGTAAAGGTTTTAAAATGTCAATGTGACATCTCAGACTCGTATCTGACCCGAATACGGGTTGGGGTATTACATAGAATCTTTGCCAATAGCAACACCAACCACTGCTGATACTCCATCAACTTCAATGCCTCAACAACTACAGCCAAAGCCACCCTCACCATTTCCACAACATTTAAAAAAAATCAATAATACAAAGCGTTAATAGATCCATTTCGCTAACTCACTATCAACATCTCGTTAATTGATGCTTTAGGAAAAAAACCTGAATTACAACAAATTCATGACGGATATCCTCTCAAAGAAAATAAGACTTGGTGAATTTGAAACTATTACTCTTATTGAGGGCTGCAACGCTATGGCTACAAGTCAGTTTCCGCCAACTTAAATATCCAAGTAGTTTTACTATTCATTGTAATATTGGTGATAAATTTATTGGTAAAGCTTTGTGTGACTTAGGTGTAAGTATCAATTTAATGCCTTTATCCATTTTTAGAAGATTTGGGAGGGGCTAAGCAAGACCAACTACAATCATTTTACAACTTGTTGATCAGTCTACCATGCATCCGAGTGGTATTGCAGAAAATATGATTATGAGAGTAGATAAATTCATATTTCCTACGGACTTCATTATCTTGGATTATGAAGTGGATAAAAATGTTCCTCTTATTCTCGGACGACCATTCCTTTCCACTAGCTGAGCATTAATTGATGTTGAAAAAGAAGAGTTTACTATGCGTTTAAATGACGAGCATATCACTTTTAATGTTTTGATTAATGCTTCTTCTATAAATTATAATATTGAATGTTTCTCACTTGACGTGATTGATGTTTTGGCACAAGAGCATTGGGAAAATGTTGTAGCACAGAAAGTGTCATTAGCGATGAAAAAGGAATTGAAGCATTGAACTAGATAAAGAAAAAGTAGAAGTTATTGAGAAATTGCCTCCACCAACTAATGTGAAAGTAGATCGAAGTTTTCTTGGTCATGCTAGTTTTTATAGGAGATTTATCAAGGATTTTTTTCAAATTACTAAACCCTTTTGTTCATTACTAAAGCAAAACAAAAGGTTTTTTGTTGACAATGAAGTGATTAAATCCTTTAAGACAATCAAGATGAAGCTAGTAAATGCTCCTATTATTGTAGTATTAAATTGGAATCTACCTTTTGAGTTAATGTGTGATGCTAGTGACTTTGTTGTAGGTGTAGTGTTAGGGCAACGAAAAGAAAAAAGGTTTCAAGCCATACATTACACAAGTAGAACATTAAATGATGCTCAGGTTAATTACACCACCACTGAAAAAGAGTAGCTTGTTGTGGTGTTTGCCTTCGACAAGTTTTCTTCTTACTTGGTGGGCACGAAAGTAATAGTTTATATTAACCATTCACCGTTGAAGCATTTATTTACCAAGAAGGATACTAAGCCCAGATTAATTCGATGGGTTCTCTAACTCCAAGAATTTGATATTGAGATTCGGGATAAGAAGGGATCTGAAAATCAGGTAACTGATCACCTATCTAGGTTAGAATCGGGTAGTGAGATTGGCAGATTTGTAATAACTCCAGGTAATTTCCCTGATGAGCGCTACTTGTTTCTACAACATTGCCATGATATGCTGATTTTGCTAATTATCTAGTTAATGGGATGATTCCACCCGATCTTAACTATTAAGGTTTAAAGAAATTTATAAGGGATGTAAGACAATATCATTGGGAAGATTCGTACTTGTTTAAACAATGAAATTATCAACTTATGAGGCGATGTATCCCTGAGTGTGAACATCAAAATATTCTATAACATTGTCTTAATGCCCCTTATAGAGGTCATTTTCGTGCTATGCACACAGCAGCAAAAATAATTCAATGCAAGTAATATTGGCCATTATTTTTTAAAGATGCCAATGAGTTTGTAAAGCATTACGATTGTTGCCAGTGAACAAGTAATATTTCAAGGTGAAATGAAATGCCATTGCAACCTATTCTGGAGATTGAACTTTTTGACATTTGCGGATTAGATTTTATGTATCATTACCCATCTTCATGTGGTAAACTTTTCATTTTAGTTGTTGTTGACTATGTCTCCAAATGGGTGGAAGCTTTCTCTTTTCCAAATAGCAATAATAAAACGGTATTACATTTTCTGCAAAAAAAAATCACTCACTTTAGAACACCCCAAGCATTTATTAGTGATGAATGATCTTAATTCATTGGAAATCAGGTTGCTAGAGCATTGAATCACTTTGGTGTGAAGTACAAGATCGCTACAACATATCATCCATAGTCCAATGGAGAAGCTAAGGTATCTAACTGAGAGATTAAGCTAATTCTTAAGAAGGTTATGAATCCTTCTAAAAAGGATTGGTCACGACACTTGGAAGAAGCATTATGGGCTTATAGAACCACTTACAAGACACCATTAGAGATGTCCTCGTATCAACTTGTTTATGTAAAAGCTTGTCGATCATCTGTAGAGCTAAAGCATAAGGCTATGTGGGCATTAAAAAGCTAAATTTTGAATTAGATGATGCGGGTGAGAAAAGAATGCTAGAGCTTAATGAGCTAGAGGAGCTCTGAAACAATATCTATGAGAGTTCACGTATTTACAAAGATAAGAGAATTAAGTGGAATAACCAACATATTTTACCAAGACACTTCATCACTGGACATCAAGTTTTGCTATTTAATTCCTTATTGAAATTATTTCCTGGGAAGTTGCAATCTCGTTGGTCAGGCCCCTTTAAAATCCTTGAGGATTTCCCTCATGGAGTTGTGTTATTAAAGAACTTGATGGATGAAAGCACATTTAAAGTCAATAGGTAGTATTTAAAGCATTATTGCCAGCAAAAAAAAACCTTAGCATTTTTGTTTCAATCACACTAAGTGATCCTTCCCCTTTTTAGTATTTTTTGCATTTTGAATAAGTCAATTTCTTTGACATTTATTTTTCTTTATCAGCTTATTATTCTTGGTTTTCTTTGTACATGATTTTGTTATTTTTGGTACCGCTCTCTGTAAATTGGTCTTCGCTGCACATCTATTATATGATTAGTGTACATTAAATGTTGTTCCTGAAGCTATAGTAGTACCCGACGGTAAATATTCCCTCCTTGGTAATACTGAGATGTAAACCATTATTTTTTCCTCCTATATTTTTCACCGACCACAATATCTAATCATAGACGTCCGTTCAAAATAAACTTTATCCTTTCACCCTTACATTTTGAATTTTAATTATCCCCTCTTTCACGCCATTAATAAAAACCTATTTACTTTACCCTTTCATTCCCACTATCTTTCATTTTTTGTGACTTTTTGATAACCCTAGTCTCCACTTCAACCTTTACTAGAATTCTTCCATGGCACAAAGGAAAAAATCTAGCACAAAGCCATTCGGCCGAACACCCACTCCACAGTCGTTAGCAGCTGCTTCACAAAAAGTTTCTCTGATTGAAGAAGTGACAAGATTTATGGACGATGAGTAACAACGAAGGTATGAAGAAGAGTTTTTTCGCTGAGATTTTTTCTTCGAGTAAGGTTTCAATTTATCCACTGAGAAAGAGCCCTATATGTTTGATTATATCTCCAAAATGGTCACAAAGCACGGCTTGGAGAAGTTTTTCGATCACCCCGGTGATATCAACCAACAAGTGGTTTGGGAGTTCTACAACTACCTCACCGATCAAACTAAACGATTCGTGTTTGTTTGCGAGCAAATGGTTCACTGGTGGACAAAGCCTATTAATGCTCTATTGTGTATCGATGAGGAGCCGTACGAGCATTTGACATTCATTGATAATATGACTGAAGAATATTCAGAGCAAATTGGAAGAGACGTTTGTTTTCCTGGGCGTTCTTGGATGAGATCAACAACAGGTGTTCAAACCATTAAGCGACTTGATATTCATCGTGATACTAGGGTATGGTTTATTTTTCTTCGTATGCGTTTAATGCCTTCTATGCACTTCTCTACAAATAATAAAGATATGATTTTACTTATTCCTCTATTTTATCGGGAAGAAAAATTGATGTTGGGAAGATTATATATGTTGAGATGTTTGCGTGTGCTCAAAAGACCTTAAGCTATTTATATTTTCCATTACTAATCATTGCACTGAGTTATCAAGCACAAGTGGTTGCATTATCTTCTGACCACATCATATAGAATTGTAGTCCAATTACCCCCACAGCTGTGAGGTGAACTTTTTAAAAGGATGGCCTTAACCCCAGTAAAGCTCGTGGCAAGCCATCCACATCCATAGCCACATCGTAATTCCCACCTTTGGAGAATCAAAGTCTGGAAAACCTGAAAAATGCTATAGCATCCATCAGTGCTAAGTAGGATAATATTATGGCGTTGCTGAGCCACTCTCTTCGGAAACAATCTCAAATGCACAACACACAAGTCCAATATTGGGAGTATGCCAAGAGTAAGAATCTACCCACAAAGAGTATTTTTGCCAAGTTGTTTAAGGAAGCCGAAGGCTTGTTTATGATATTTTCAGCAAAGATTTTAGAAGATCTGATGCAACCAGCCATGCTTGATGCTAGCCATAGTTCGACAAGTACATAAAGTGCTAATGCTAAATAACTGGTTGGTGAGAAAGATGTCATGGTTATGGATACTAAATCATCAGAAGCTAAAAAGGGAGTTGAAGAGGATGAAGATGAAGGGAAAGTCGAAAAAAAGATGGAATGGAAAAAATCCACTAAATTTTTACCAGTAGATGTTGAGATTATGGAGGAAAAAGAGACCTTAAGCAGAGAATTACCACAAGAGAAAGTTACTGTAGGAGAATATGCTCCAGCAGAAAAATTTGCAGTGAAACTATTGGACCTGATGAATCTGAAGCTGCAAAAGATGTTATAGTTGTTGAGAATCCTGAATTAGACACAAAAAAGGTGATTAGTAAGTTCATCGATGTTGTCGAGCAATCAATTATTGTGAACTCGCCTGAGAGCAATCTCTTTGTACCAACCGTCGGTGCTAAGAAACCAGAAGATGAAGCAAAGAATATGTTAGATGTTATTGTATCTACTACTCCAATCTCTGATGTTGTTGTGGCAAAAGTCACGTCAACTTCAATAATTCAGAAGAGGAAGAGCTCGGTGAAAGCTAATACAACAGCAAAACGTCTCCGTCCAAATGTTCTCAGTCCGTGCAAGAGCCCCAAAAAGCCCACTTAGGGAATTTTTTCTTCCCTTTTTCATGTTTTAGTTATTGTTTTTTTAATTATTGTTTGTTTTTGCTTTTCCTTTTGTTATTGCATGCATTAAGTACAATGCATCCCTTAGGTTTGCGGGTGTATTGTCTTTAAGATACCACAAGTTACTTCTGTGACGTCCAAATTTTTGGAACCATCCCCAATTGAAATACAATCATCACCAGTTTTGATATATATGTTTATAATTTTACCCCTTCTGATCTTCCGATGTGAATACCATCCGTGTTTGGGTTATCTTTGGGTGCAGATACAGTGACACGTTCGAGAGTAATGTTTTTGCATCCCAAAATATTTACGTGGAACTATTTGTTATCTCTAATAGTTATATCTTGTATCATTGCATTGGTCAAAAAATCAAGCCTGGTATTCTATTTAATTTCGGAGTTAAAAGAGTCACAAGAAGAAAAAAAATATGTATTAGTTATAACTATTAAAAATAATATCTAATTCTTGTGAAATGTAAGAAACCATACGATAGGGAGGTTACTACAGAAGTCGTGTTTTTCGCATCCTTCTCTCTTATAAGAAGCGGTCCCTTATCCATCGAAAGATCCTCCACAAAACAATTTAAAGTTCTCAAAATAAAGAAAGCTAACCCATTTAGGCTCCTTAAAAGCTTTAGGATCAGCTGGTGCTTTTATATTGCCCTGAACTTGAAGCTCAATTGGAGTCTTACAAGGACCTTCCAGGGTTGCTTGACTTAATAAATATGTCCCTTCAGGAATCACAATTGTTGTTGTAGTTGGTGAAGCACAAGTCTCTTTCCAAGCATCCAACAATGGCTAAAACAAATTAGATTAATAAAAAAGTTATACATGTTTTTCACTGTTAGAGTATTAAAGTGAGCTATAATTTTGCTTACCGTACTCAAATATATATTCAAGTTAGCCTTTGTGCCAAACTTAGCTACGACATCAAGTACACCTGCTTGAGCTTCTATTGCTGTAAGGAATAAATTTAATATTATAGACATTGCACAAACAACATTAAAAATTATTAACATCTCTTTTACTTTGTATTCACTTGAAGGTGGGATGGTTTTTCCTTTTGTTTAGTCTCAAATATATAGAGATGGTAGGGAAAATTACAACCAACCAAAATTTTCAATCAAACATTTTTCTAATTTAACCGACGTGTGTAAATTATAAGGCTAGAATTTACTTTATATGATTAGCTTGTGTTTTCTTATACATATGACATGGCTAGATAAAATTTTGGTTAGTTTGTTTGCAAACTTGAATCATGTAATTTAAACAGAAGTATTTTATCAATATTACTTAAAAAAAAGGTGTTCTAGAACTAAATTGGGACATGATCCAAAATAATCGTAAACATGTATAATGTTTAGCTCCTAAAAACATTACTTAATATTTTCTGGATAAAAATTATTTGTTCATATAATTAATTTTTAGTTCTGAAGTATATCTCGTACTCTAAAAGGCTTTGAAACTTAATCATCTATAAAACAAAGTGAAAATGACTTCATACAAGTGTTTGATTTAAAATTTTCGATCAACTTAGTGCTTGTGTTAAATCAAAATGTTTTAATTTGATTACATGGAATTGACATTACCCTAGGTATGGCAAAGTTGAGTTTAATACGTCCAACTACATATTCCAATTTGAATAATTAACTAATTTCATAAAAGAAAAATTAGGATGACTAAATTTAAAATGTACGAAGAGTACAGGAACTTACAAGTTACAACATATTGTAACCTTTTCCATAATAAATATATTCTTGATAATTATCTATTTTGAAGGTAACGATATCATCAAAGCTACAAATTTGTTAGAAAAAGTTTTTATGACACATTTTTTCTACTTATTTTATGATAAGACATTTCAGATATGATAAACAAAATATTATAAGAAGTCCAAAAAATTAAATATTAATTTATGAAATTAAATGAAGAGACATAGATCAAAATATAACCAATTTCATTAGAAGTTAAAAAGTTGGCAAACAAGAGCCAATTTTGTAAAAATATATTTTATTCAAAATTATATAATATATTTGAAATATATTCAAACGAGACCTATATTTTAAAATAATATTAAAAATTGGAATTAATTGTTTGATATTTAATTAAAAATGAATAGTTAAGTTGACAAATTTTAACATACTGAGACAATATTTTGTTTTATAGCCTTGCACATGTAAAGTAAACAAAAGTCTAACCTCAAGGCTCAAAATTATGTATTTCATTTTTTTCAAGGTTAATCTTCAAAATAGTTTAATAAATTTTCAACAAAAAAAATCAGACTCGCACCCGGAGTAAGCGTTAGAGTAGTATGTCTTTGAGACTTCAATATATTATTGGAATTTTGAAACGGATCTAATAGAAAGTTTGAATAAGTAAACTTTGTATGTTTGACACATCGTGTAGTTTTATATAGCTTTAATGACGATTGCTTAGCATTTTTACTTGAAATAAAGATAAATATCATGTATGTTCAAGTGCAGTGCACACATCCGAAACAAATAAGTCAAAATACATAAAATGTTACCACATATGTGTTGTTTCTCTTTCTTTTAAGGTATATTTTTCTTTAAAATATTAATGTAAATATTTCTTAATAACTTGGAATTAATATGAAATGGATGCATTTATATAAAATGAAAAGATACATAAGTTAGTTCACTTTTTTTATTGCATCCAACACTTAAACCGTAGGTGTAGGGTTTTCTGGTACAGGAGTAGAGCATGCAACAGGATTTTGTTTGCCAATAATTTTTTGTTTAACATTTTTACATTCGGATTAGGCAGGTCCATCCGGTCCACTAAACGTAATGTCAATGTCGGAGAGTTCTACATTTTCACAAGGAAAAGTACCACTGCAAACGAGTTTAACAACTTCTGGAAGCGCAACCGTACCATGAATGTTCTTGAAGCTGATGTTACTTAGTTTAACATTTCATTCTTCCTGTAATATCAATCTACTAGTTAGATGATTGATTAACTATTTTAATTGTATTGGGTATTTGATAAGTATGTACATACATTCATTTTGCATTTATTCCATGGGCAGTATTTCTAGTCAATTAGGATGGGGTAACTAACATTCGTCACGATGATATCCTCGAAATGAATATCCGATGCAGTGCCGGGAAATTGACCTGCCCAAGTCTTGATTCTAACACCATTCGAAGTATTAGTCAGGGTGCAGTTGGATACTTTAATTCCTTCAACTGGTTCTTCATTTGCGAACTTTCCAAGACTACCGATATTGATGTCGTGTCTGGGTCCACAAGTTACTCTTGTGACGTCCAGATTTTTGGAACCATCCCCAATTGAAATACAATCATCACCAATTTTGATATATGTGTTTATAATTTTACCCCTTCTAATCTTCCGATTGAATCTCATCCGTGTTTGGGCTATCTTTAGGTGCAGATACAGTGACACGTTCAAGAGTAATGTTTTTGCATCCCAAAAGATTTATGTGGAACTGTTTGCTATCTCTAATAGTTATATATTGTATCATTGTATTGGTCAAAAAAATTTAATATTATACCCATTGCACAAACAAGATTAAAAATTATTGCCATCTCGATTACTTTGTATTCACTTGAAGGTGGGATGGTGTTTCCTTTTGTTTAGTCTTAAATATATAGAGATGGTTGGGGAAATTACAACCAACCAAAATTTTCAATCAAACATTTTTCTAATTTAACCGACGTGTGTAAATAATATGTTTAGACTTTACTTTCTATGATTAGCTTATGTTTTCTTATACATATGGCATGGCTAGATAAATTTTTGGTTAGTTTGCTTGCAAAAATCATGGAAATTAAACAAAAGTATTTTATCAAAATTACTTAAAAGAGGGTGTTCTAAAAACTAAATCGGGACATGATCCAAAATAACCGTAAACATGTATAATGTTTAGCTCCTAAAAAATCTTAATATTTTCTTGATAAAAATTGTTTGTTCATATAATTAATTTTTAGTTCTGAAGTATATCTCGTACTCCTAAAGGCTTTGAAACTTAATCATCTATAAAGGAAAGTGAAATTGACTTCCTACAAGTATTTGATTTAAAATTTTCTATCGACTTAGTGATTATGTTAAATCAAAATGTTATAATTTGATTACATGGAATTGACATTACCCTATGTATGGAGAAGTAGAGTTTAATACGTCCAACTATATATTCCAATTTGAACAATTACCTAATTTCATAAAAGCAAAATTATGATGACTAAATTTAAAATGTACAAAGAGTACAGGAACTTACAAGTTACAACATACTGTAACATTTTCCATAATAAATATATTCTTGATAATTATCCATTTTGAAGGCAACGATGTCATCAAAGCTACAAATTTGTTAGAAAAAGTTTTTATGACACATTTTTTTCTACTTATTTTATGATAAGACATTTCATATATGACTTTCATAAACAAATAATATTTATAAGATGTCCTAAAAATTAAATATTAATTTATGAAATTAAATGAAGAGACATAAATCAAAATATAACCAATTTCATTAGAAGTTAAAAAGTTGTCAAACAAGAGCCAATTTTGTAAAAAAAAATATTTTATTCAAAATTAGATAATATATTTGAAATATATTTGAAAGATCGTTTACATTCAAGTGTAGTGCACACATCCGAAACGAATTAGTCAAAATACTTAAAATATTACCACATACGTGTTGTTACTCTTTCATTTAAGGTTTATTTTTCTTTAAAAATTAATATAAATATTTCTTAATAACTTAGAATTAATATGAAATGGATGCATTTATATAAAATGAAAAGATACATATGTTACGTTCACTTTTTTATTGCAAGCCAACACTTAAACCGTAGGGGTAGGGTTTTCTGGTACAGGAGTAGAACATGCAGCAGGATTTTGTTTGCCAGTAATTTTTGGTTTAACATTTTTACATTCAGATTTTGCAGGTCCATCCGGTCCACTAAAAGTAATGTCAATGTCGGCGAGTTCTACATTTTCACAAGGAAAAGTACCACTGCAAACAAGTTTGACAACTTCTGGAAGTGCAGCCGTACCATGAATGTTCTTGAAGCTGATGTTGCTTAGTTTAACATTTGATTCTTCCTACAAGATCAATCTACTAGTTAAATGATTGATTAACTATATTAATTGTATTGGGTATTTGATAAGTATGTACATACATTCATTTTGCATTTATTCCATGGGCAATATTTCTAGTCAATTAGGACGGGGCAACTAACATTCGTCACGGTGATATCCTCGAAATAAATATCCGATGCAGTGCCAGGAAATTGACCTGCCCAAGTCTTGATTCTAACACCATTTGAAGTATTAGTTAGGGTGCAGTTGGATACTTTAATTCCTTCAACTGGTTCTTCATTTGAGAACTTTCCAAGACTACCGATGATGCCGTGTCCGGGTCCACAAGTTACTCATGTGATGACCAGATTTTTGGAACCATCCCCAATTGAAATACAATCATCACCAATTTTGATATCTATGTTTATAATTTTAACCCCTTCTGATCTTCCGATGTGAATCCCATCCGTGTTTGGGCTATCTTTAGGGGCAGATACAGTGACATGTTCGAGAGTAATGTTTTTGCATCCCAAAAGATTTACGTGGAACTGTTTGCTATCTCTAATAGTTATATCTTGTATCATTGCATTGGTCAAAAAAATCAAGCCTGATATTCTATTTAATTTTGGAGTTAAAAGAGTCACGAGAAAAAAATATGTATTAGTTATAACTATTAAAAATAATATCTAATTCTTGTGAAATGTAAGAAACCTTACGATGGGGAGGTTACTATAGAAGTCGTGTTTTTCTCAACCTTCTCTCTTATAAGCAGTGGTCCCTTGTCCATCGAAAGCTCCTCCACCAAACAATTTAAAGTTCTCAACATGAAGAAAGCTAACCCATTTAGGCTCCTTGAAATATTTAGGATCAGTTGGTGCTTTTATATTTCCCTGAACTTGAAGCTCAATTGGAGCCTTGCAAAGATCTTCCAGGGTTGCTTGACTTAATAAATATGTCCCTTCAGGAATCACAATTTTTGTTGGAGTTGGTGAAGCATAAGCTTCTTTCCAAGCATCCAACAATGGCTATAACAATATAGATTAATAAAAAAGTTATACATATTTTTCACTGTTAGAGTATTAAAGTGAGCTATAATTTTTCTTACCTTACTCAAATCTGCATTCAAGTCTGCCTTTGCGCCAAACTTAGCTACGACATCAAGAGAACCTGCTTGAGCTTCCATGGTTGTAAGGAATAAATTTAATATTATATACATTGTACAAACAACATTAAAATTTATTGGCATCTCTTTTACTTTGTATTCACTTGAAGGTGGAATGGTTTTTCCTTTTGTTTAGTCTCGAATATATAGAGATGGTTGGGAAAATTACAACCAACCAAAATTTTCAATCAAGCATTTTTTAATTTATCCTTTACTTTCTATGATTAGCTTGTGTTTTCTTATACATATGGCATGGCTAGCTAAATTTTTGGTTAGATTGTTTACAAACTTGAATCATGTAAATTAAACAAAAGTATTTTATCAATATTACATAAAAAAGGGTGTTCTAGAACTAAATCGGGACATGATCCAAAATAACTGTAAACATGTATAATGTTTAGCTCCTAAAAAAACTTTACTTAATATTTTCTTAATAAAAATTGTTTGTTCATATAATTTATTTTTAGTTCTGAAGTATATCTCGTACTCCTAAAGGCTTTGGAACTTAATCGTCTATAAAAGAAAGTGAAAATGACTTCCTACAAGTGTTTGATTTAAAATTTTCAATCGACTTAGTGATTGTGTTAAATCAAAATGTTATAATTTGATTACATGGAATTAACACTACCCTAGGTATAGAGAAGTAGAGTTTAATATGTCCAACTACATATTCCAATTTTAATAATTACCTAATTTCATAAAAGCAAAATTAGGATTACTAAATTTAAAATGTACGAAGAGTACAGGAACCTACAAGTTACAACATATTGAATATATCACGATATACATAGAGGGGTGTGAATGATCGAGATAGGATTTGTCCTTCTTACATAATAGGAAACATATCACAGGCCACTTGATTGAGTGAGACAAAAAACGCATGGCCATGCTCGAATAAGTTGATATGAGATATCACAAATTATTCGTTTATTATAGTCTACTCTAGATATCAAGGAATAATAGATGGGCTATACAAGTGTGACTATTCCAAGACTTGTGCTTATTCTAGATATAAAGGACAAAAGGATATAATACATTGAAAGAGTTAGTCACGGATATGTTATGTAGATTAATGACTTCCCATAACTTAGGTAAAAATGACATATTGCTAGATATCACTCATTATTTTTAATATTAGAATACTTCTAATTATTACTACTAACGTTACAGGAACCTAAAGGGTCGCACCCAATGGTTGAAAAAGAGAGCAACTAATAAATGTGTCACATATGTACAATTTGATTGCACATGAATAAAATGTGTAATATTTATATATATATATATATATATATATATATATATATATATTATATATATATATATATATATATATATATATATATGTGTGAGTAATTTTAATTACACATAAATACCATATTTAATAATGTAATTAAAGTAATTGTATTTCTAATTAAATTCGAAATTTTAAAACTCCTAATAGCTAGCGTGACACATATATAAGGGATATATTGGTCTAATAGCCGTTTGAATGTTTTTTTTTTGGAAAAATCCCTAAATTCCTAGAAAGGTTTTGCTCTTAATTGCTATTCAACCTAGTGAACTAAGTAGAGGCTAGGACAAAATTTCATGGAGTCTAGGATTCGAACTATTCGTGACTTCCGTTAGTCGTGTTGTATTTGTTGATTTTCAAGGAACCCAATGTAAGTAATCGCATCTATTCCTCCTAATTTTGGATTTAACGTACTTGGATCGTTGGTGAGACCTTCACGTTTTGTTTTTTCTACGGCATGGGGGCACTGACGGTCCCAACATTATAATGGTTGTCTAAGGTTGTGTTCCTTGGCCATGTGGTCCCAGACGAGAGGATAAGAATATATATATATATATAAAGGAAGAATGAGATATAGTCAAATGATAAAGTCCAAAAAAATGTTTTCGAATTTCGAAGTTTCTTGGGACTTGTTGGTTACTATCGAAGGTTCATACAAAAAATTTTGATGATTATCTTCCTTCTAACCAAGCTATTGAGGAAATATGTGTTATTCATTTGGACAGATAAATGATAAGAAAACTTCAAGATGTTAAAAAAATATTGACATAAGCTCCAAAGTCAATGTAATCAGGATTTGGAAGGACTGTGTGATTTATAGTAACGCTTCTCATAATGGTTTGGATGCATACTCGTGCAAAAGGAAACGTTAGGGCTTATGTTTCAAAGAAACTAAAGAATCATGAAAGAAATTAGTTGACTCGTGATCTTGAATTGGCAACAGTTTTGTTTACATCATTGATTTAATGCTACAATCTATATGGCGAGTGACGTTATATCTATGTGAATCTCAAAAGTCAAAAGTCAAAATATGTGAAAATAAAGGAAATGGATTAAATTCCTTAAAGATTGATGATGTACGTCACGACTACCACCAGGAAATATTAATGAGGTTATTGATACGATAAAGCCAAAAGACATTTCAGTTATGAGATTTTTTAATACGTTATTATTTTAAGGAAAGATGGTGCTCTCATTATAGAACTAAAGTTAAAGCTTCTGTTGCTAGATCGAATAAAGCATCTTCAAAGAAAAGATGGAATGTTCTTATCAAATATAGAACAAGCAAAAAAAGGTGAAACCAAATACGTTAAGGTTAAGTCTTACTGATATTTATATTATCGAGGAAAAAGTTGATATTAGAAATAGGTATGAAAAGAGTTATCACCAAGCTTGTTTCTAAAGGGTTGACATGTCAACGAGTTAAAGTATAGTATCAAGTGCCTTCTGGATTATTATAATTGATTTCTATCCCTTAGTTGGAATAAGAACGAGTTACAATAGACTTTGTAACTGGAAAAGATTATTTAAGACAATCTCAAGATTGTTGTCGATCAACAAAAGTCTTACTCGAATTTAAAAAGAAAAAGAGATATTTCATTAAAGTGTTTCTTAAAGTGGTGAAGGATATAAAGATGCAGTCAGAATTTGACTTATGATATGAAATCGATATTTATTAAAGCTTGTAAAACAAATCAAAGTTGGAAAGCTAATTACAAAGGAGAAATATATGAAAAAAACAATGCTTCATCTATTTACATCAGGTAAGTATTGAAAATTTGAGGATGAATTTTCATAAGGGAGAATAATTGTAATACCCAAAATTTTGGTTAGTGACCAAAATGTAAACTTTGAAAGTTTAATGGCCAAAGCATAAAATTAGGAAAAGTTTAGGGACCTAATTGGTAATTTTACCAAAAAGAATTCTTATTCCATAAATGGATAGTTTACTCTTGAGAGTGGGGTTTTATTGAAATTAGAATCTTGATCCGAAATTTATGTTAAAAACTAGAAAGTGTTAAAGTTTGCTAAAAATTTGATAAATCGAATCGAATAGAAATTTCAGGAAAATTTGAAGGGCGTTAAATTAAGCTTAGAAATATTATTTCCAAATGTTAAAATGATGGAAAATAATATGGACCATTGGAAAAATTCGTGAAGAAGTGAATTGGTAGCAAGAAATTAAGATTAAAGTTTGGTGAGGTTTATGTTTTGATTTGTATATAAAGTATTAATGTAAGTGCAACTTAATTATTTAATTATCCTGATTGAAGACGACTTGTGGTAAATCAACCTCGTATTGTTTTATTTTAAAAGTATAGTTTGTGTTTTAATTTTGGAATTATTTCTATAATATTTTATCAAGTTTCATGAATGATTTCAGGTATGAACTGCCCATGTTATATTTTGCGGTTATGATTTGAAAATAATTCTGGTTTGGCATGATATTTATTAAGTGGTTATGAATCAAAATAAAGTTCATTGTATGTTGCATTGAGAGTCGTGGGTACATGAGGTGGAGTGATTCTGTTATACTGTGGTGTTACCTGAAGGTACACTAGTATATATATTTTGATGTGATTGCTCTTTGTGTACATATTACGATTCTGATATGATAGCATTGTGTGTGTTTATATGTTCCGATTTTGATATATTGTGGTGTATTAGTGGGTGCACTAGTATATATATTCTGATCTGATTGCACTTTGTGTGCACATTATGATTTTGATATAATAGCATTGTGTGTGCTTATATATTCTGATTATGATGATAGCACTGAATTGATTATTGCGCTCACTCGTCTGACTCATGTACCTTGCATTCTCATAAATATACATTGGGCTATGAAAATGAAATAAGGAAAGTTTTGAAAGTGACTTAAAGGAAAAAAAAATATAAAAATGAATAATATGAAAGTTTTGAAATGTGTCCGAATGGAAAGTATATGCAAAGTATACTATTTTTTATGTTGATTATTGTGATTTTGATGAAATTATAAGAGCATGATTTTCAAGTTTCTGATGAGGAAAAATACGGCTTGAAAAGATCGGTTTGAAGTTTTAATATTTAAATTATAGTTTATTGCTTATATTTTATAAATTTTATATTTTAGTTATATTTCTACCTCACTAAGTTTTACTTAGCGCGTGATGATTTTCATGCGTAGGTTCAAATAAAGTAAAGGACGTGAAGTGAGTAGTTTGCTAGCATCTTATGGAAATCGAACTTAGTGACTGTATCAGTAAGACATCCTAACTTTGACTTTTTAGTGGCATGTACATTATATTCGTTGGGTTGCCTTATCAGATTTATTTTAAAAAGGAATTTGTAATATTAATTTATAATTGTTTTGATTTTTGGTTAATTTTAGTTAGAATCGTATTTATGAATGAATATTATTATGACTGGTTTTAAATGATTTTTAAATTAAACAGTGATATGTATATAGTTACTAGCTGACTAATGGGCGGCGCAATAGGGTTTTGGGGAGAGAGCGAAGCCATTCTTTTGCAATCACACTACTCTTTTTAGGATCATCCGTTTATTAATATATTTCCTTACCTATTCGCAAACTCCCAATATTATGATATACTCGAGCAATCACATTTAGCTACTTAACCAAATTAGTACAAATCAATTTATTCTAGTGGATAAAAAAGTTGTCATTATTCTTAGAGAGTATGGGTTTAAGCTCCAACAACTACAGCAATATGATTGGACATTCATTGAAAAATAGTTGATATTATTTAAAATAAATATTATTTTGTTTAACTTAATAAAAAATAATTAAATTGTTTTTATATTCTTTTAAGGTATAACTTTTAGATCCAGTAATGATATTTATTTTACTTTTTCTAGAATTTCTTTTTCCTTCTCCTCTAAAAATAATTTAAATTTAATTTAATATACACTAGATAAAAAATAAATTATCTACTATTATAAAATCTGTAGTTTCTTTCATATTTTTGAAGTTGACGGATTTTTTATTTTAGTTTAATATGCATTCGTCAGGCACATCCTACAAAACGTATTTTGAAAGATATTTTTCATGTGACGCGGTAGTATCATTTATGATAAAAGTAAATATTAATTCAAAAGATAATTTAAAATGGATATCAGAATAAGAAATAGCAATAAAAGAGGCCCTTTAAATTGGGCTATGAAATGGACCTAATAATCAAGTACATACTCACCCCAGGCCTTTCTTATCCTGGTAAGAAAACCCCCAATATTATTTTATTTTATGTTTCTCACACCACCTCAATCTGACGTTACTCAATGCTCTGCTCTATCCCGACCGCTAAGTCCGGTTCCAACTGGCTGGACCGGCTTCGTTCGATCAAGGGGTTCCCCGCCGCCGACAACCTTGACCTCGACCATTTCCTCTCGAATCCCAACCCTCCCGCTTCTCCGCTCATCAATGCCTCCGATTCGCCGGATTCAAACGCCGAGTCAACTCACTCCAACGACAAACAACTCCAAAATCCCAACCCGCCGCCACCACCTCCGGAGGTGACATCCGCCGAGCCATCCGGAGACAAGAAATGGTTTGGTATAATGACCAATGTCCTGTCGGAGCTCTTCAACATGGGCGAACAAGCCCCAACCTCCAGGTTTTCCAAGAAAAAATCTTCCAGGAAACAAACAAACCCTAGAATTTGCATTTTCAATACCCCCGACGTTAATTCTACCGAGGAACGGAAAAGCAGTTCGGATAACGTGAGAAAAGACAAGGACGTCCTCGTTTCAACGAGGTCGTTGAGTTCAAGGGAAGAAGCGAAGAGGGAATCGGAACAAAGGAGCCAAAATAACAACGTGGAAGGAGAAGAAGAAGAAGGAGAAGACAAAGGAGAAGCAGAGAGGGAACTGGTTGGGTACTCGAGAAGTGAAGCTACGGTAATAGACACGAGCTGCAAGGAATGGAAAGCTGACAAGCTTATCTTCAAGAGGAAAAATATCTGGAAAGTTAAAGACAAGAAAGGAAAGTCACGCGCCATTGGTAGAAAGAAGAGGAAACCACCTCCTCCATCTCAAGACAATTGTGTTTGTAATAAGAAACCAAAGATTTCGAGTTTGGAGCTGATAGAAACCAGTAGAACACAATGTGGATCGCCTATAAATCGTGTAAGATTTAAGGTTACATGCCCTTTCTAATAATTCTTTTAAATCGATCACTGCTATTTTGTTAACTTGGATTCAGCTTTGTCTATTGATATGCATTGTGAGAGCTTCTAAAAGTTCAGTCTTTCATTGAAGAGTTCAGTATTGCATTTGTGACTCAATGTTCTATGTTGTTTATGTAAATTAATGACTTTACTTAGATGGGAATAATGATAATGTAGCACACTACTCCGGTAAACTTTTCTGGGTTACTTAAATGGGAGTGATGACAATGTTGCACACTAGTGGATACAATCCTGGTACACTTTCTGGGTTTGATTGAAGCTGTCTAAGTATGATGTTGTTTTAAGCTATTCAAAACACTGAAGATATTTTTGGCTTTCTATTTATCTTAACATGTTACCTTATAACATTGAGAACCCTGGGCTCGATAGCTTATATGCTTGTTTTCTAATTCTTTCCACAGCGGTAGGCTGTTGTTCATGCTGTTAACTTCAGCTATTCTTGATGCTTTTTTTTTCTTTTCTGCTGAAGAGGGGATAGAATTCCCATGTAACTTAGTCTGCTGTGCCAATGTTGGATACGTGTATGTGTTTGATATGGGTATATTTTTGGAAAGTCATAGCACAGAGCTATGTCAAAATGTGTATTGGACATGAGTACTTTACAAATGAATAGTTTTAGTAACATAGTAGTATTCAGTTTTATGTTTCAGTTTTATTAAATTCTACGGGGATATTCTAATTTGATGTTTGGTGATTAAATCAAAACATAGTTCAATATATAGGTAGTTACTAATTAAACTTATGATGCAAAGTGACAGGAAGGTTCGAATTTTCTAAGGTGCAAATGATTTAATTTTGGTTTTGAGAAATGACAACAGAGATATAATACCTGTTTTTTTTATTGTTTTCTGCACTCTGAAAGTCACTCATAGCAATTTGGTTATTGAGCTTCTTATAAATGCTTCTTTCATATGGAGACGCTTCCTTTGAATTTCAAGTATGCCTTCAGTTCTGTATAACACTTTTTCTATTTATGCCAGTCATGATAAATGTGTCTAGTTACAATTTTGCTTCCCGCGATTTAGAGGCTAACGATAATCAGTTTTTTCAGTCAGTTTTGAAAATCATATATTATATGAATTCAACTATCCTGAATGTTGTTCCTTCTTGTTGAGTTATTGTTTTGAGTTCCTTGAAACATTTGGTTTGATCTTCAGTTTGCCCCTTGCTGGAAGTAAATTTTGTTTTCTTATAAAAAAGTTAACTCTTTTAGTTATTCACTGAAAATGTTGGTTATATATGTATGTATGTGTTCTTCAGTTGAAACGCCAGTTGAATATGGTTTTTATGGGTCGGTCATTTATATGTGTATGTTGATAGCTTTTTGATGATTGACACAGTGGAGAGAATGCCCCCATTGTCAGTAAACCAGCATGAGGTTAATGAAAAGTGGTTTTAACTTTTTTATATATTCATCTTCTATGCAAGGGACGGAATGCTCCAGATGACAAAAGGGAAGAAGTTCACAATGAGGCAGCTGATGGTCTTACCCAAGTTCTTAGAAATAGGCAAGCAGAGCAGCAAATTACCACAGTTCTTTTTCTTTCATTCTTTCATATTTTCTTCCATTAATCAATCATTTTTATTTACTTGATTTGTCTTCGGTTTAAATTTAATTCATCCAGGTTTCCTTACTCCAGATTACCTCGGAAATCAGGAAAGGGAGGTTCTTCTGTTATCCTTATGAAGGCTATTCCTACAGGCAAGAAAAATGGAGGAAAGCTTGCCATGAACCTGAAGGACTCACAGAGGAAATATAAAACGTTATAAATCCATCAAGCCTGTCTGGTAAAATACCCAATTCTGCAGTTGAGCCAGCAATTGGTTCTATTTTGAGTATGCCTTGCTCCTATTGGTGGATGGATGGGATTCAAATGGCTATGTCTGAGGTTTTGGGGCTAAAATTGGCCCCTAACTTCAAGCCTGTGGGTCAGGTATTTACTTGATAAAAAATAATATGGAAATTTATATTTAGATTTGAGAAGATGGTCATGTTGGATGTTCCAATCAGAAGCTCATTGTAAACAGAATCAATTATGGAATTACCTAATGCACAAGATGAGAGATTGGAACCATTGTGCAAATTTGATCAATTATGGTTTTTTTTTTATTTGGGATGGACCGAATTTATATTTAATTAAAAATATTAATATAAATATGAAAAAAAGTAATATTTGTGAATAGGAAAATAACATTTCAAACTTGATACGAATGGGATAGTTCATTTGATTGGGGAGTATTCAATTGAGTTTAGTTAAAGAGTTTTATTTTGTAACTTAAATTGTATTTGAATTTTTTTAGTCGAATTGTTCGAATCTCTGTTTAAATTTAATTGTAAATATCTATAGTGTTGTGATATTAATTGATTTCAATTTAAACAACTTTTATATAATTATATATGATATACATATATTTTCTTCATATGCGATACATATCTATCATTTAAAATTAAATGATTCAATTCAGACTTCAAAATTAATTAATTAATTAAAGTTTTGTATAACTTAAAAAATTGAATCAGTTTAAGAGTTACATTTTCTAACATGGGGTTGAATTAAAGTTTTATTTATTTTAAATAAAAATCGAGTTTTACTCCCCTTTGAATTAAGGGTAAATTATGTGAATAGTTTCTTTTGTTTTCGGTTTGTTCGACTTTGATCACTAATTTAAAAATTAAGGTTACATGGTCCCTAACGTTATCGATCTATTCATTTTGAATCTCTAGCGTTATTGGTTCGTTCGGTTTTAGTCCCTTATCCATTAACCCTTTAACGGAAGTATTACGTGACTATTAAAAAATAATAAATAAATCTACAAGCTGTAAGTAACAAAAATATTACGTGACTATTAAAAAATAATAAATAAATATACATAAGTCACTAGCTGCAAGTGACGTGTAATAAAAGATTATTTTTTTAAATTTTTTAATTGTCACTTAATACTTCCGTTAAAAGGTTAACGGGAGTTGACGGAGAGGGACTAAAATCGAACGGATCGATAATATTAAAGACCATGTACCCTTAATTTTTAAATTGATGACTAAAGTCAGACAAATAAAAAATAAAAGGATTATTTGCATATGTTACCCTTGAATTAATAATGCGGAATGCTTGAGTTAGAACCGGGATCCCCTTCCCTGCCCCTAATTAATATTTAATATAAAAAGGGTACTACATTTTCTACACGGTGGAGGTTTTATTTCTGATATACTTTTCGCCACGGACAACGCTCAGCAGTGCACCCTTTCAGCTAACAAGAATCATCTTGAGGGAGCAGGACCATTGTGACGACCAAGGCCTGCCATCTATTTTCAAGCACTCTCAGCCCCAACGTTTGCTGAGATTGAGCTCATCCAATCCAAATATGGTGACCGCGATTACCATGTTTACAGATTCCTTTTGGCTTTCCTCCTTTTCTGTTTTCTCCAACTATCACACCTTTACTACTCCACCCAAACTACTATCCCCTGTTTCTTTGTGTGCTAATCCAACTGCCCGCTCACGCCAATGCTTCTCTCTGGTAAGTGTTAATAAGACCTCGGGTACTGAACTCTGGCCATTCAAGTGTCCCCAACCGCCTAATCGTTCTCTCATCCAATGTAACTGCGTCGACACGGTCATCTCTCTTCACTGGGAAAAGGGTTTGTATTACCATCTCTTTGAAGCAATTTGTCAAACACTTATCGTACTCCCAACTCTTCTAAGCTTTTTTAATAGGTTCTGACAAAATTCTTGTTGCTTTCAAGATTTGACTGTGTTATTTGTGTCAGGTATACTGTTTTCGGTCTTCAGAGAAATTGGACTAAACGAAAAGGAAACCAAATTACTTTTGGACAAGAACCCAACTTTGAGATCGACGTCTTTGAACAGAATACGTGCCCGGCTTCTTGCTTTACAGTCTGTTGGTATCAATGGGTTTGGTCTTTATCGGTTGGTCATTAAATGTGCAAGTGTATTAATTGCTGAGGAAATTGATTCAGTGATTAGTTTTGTGCGTGATGAATTAGAAGGAAAGGTCAAGTCAGCACAACTTGAACGCCTCTTTATTACAACGGATGCGAGATTCTTGCTTGGTTTTGATCATAAGGTTAAACTGCTTATTCGTCATGAAGTTCCCAGGGAGAAGATAGCTCATGTTCTCAACAATGTCAACTTGAACAAAGCCATTTGTTGCAAGTCTGTTGAAGAAATTGAAAGAACCATAAATTTCTTGAAACCTTATCATGGCATTGAAATAATAGTTAGGCGTCCTTCAGTTCTCAACTATGATTTGGATTCTCAGTTGATTCCAAAAATTCAGTTTCTAGAAGAGCTTAGTGGAGGTGATGCAAATGCCACTGGGACAGTGTTGCGCAAACTGCCCGCCATCTTGAGTTATAGTTTGGAGCATATGGAGGGTCATGTGGATTTCATGAGATTATATGTTGGTCTTAGTGACAGGGAAATATTCAAGATTATTCTCGTGTTTCCGAATGTGATTAGTGCCAGCAAAGAGAGGAAGTTGCGTCCTAGAATCGAGTTTCTCAAGCAATGTGGACTTAATTCTAATGACATTTTCAAGTTCTTGACAAGGGCCCCCTTGTTTGTGGCCCTTTCCTTTGAAGATAACCTGGCTCATAAATTCGGGTTTTTGGTGAAGATTGGGTATGAATATAGGACAAAAGAGTTTGCAGCCGCTTTGGGTGCTGTCACCAGAACTAGTTGTGAAAATATGCAGAAGGTAATTGGCCTCTTCTTGAGTTACGGTCTTTCTTATGAAGATATTTTTCACATGAGCAAGAAACACCCTCAAATACTGCAGTACAATCCTAGTTCTTTGGAGGAGAAGATGGAGTATTTGACAAAGGACATGGGCCGAGATGTTAGTGAGCTATTGACTTTCCCTGCATTTCTCGGTTACAAGCTTGATGACAGGATTAAGCACAGGTATGAAGTAAAGAAAAAAACTGCTGGAACCGGAATGTCTCTCAACAAGCTCTTATCAGAGTCAGCTAACAGATTCTCAACCAGAAAGAAAGCAGAAAGTCTGGTTAATGATTGACAACCGGAACGAAGACCGAAGCTTAAGGGTGATTTCTGTAAATTGTTCACAGTATCCCAATCAGAAACTTGCTACGAGCTTTCTCGATTCTCTGGAGTGCCAATAATTGTTAATCTTAATGAGCCACTGTGATTGCATTTTGATGATGAGAACTACACCATGGCAAAAGTAGAGGAAAAGTGATCTCACGTCACACCAACTAGGCCAATCACAGAACTCATTGCCTGAAAGAATTTTCTACTTTAGAATTTTTTTTAAAAGAGGCAAATCTAGTGAACTGATTTGATTTTTCCTTTAACAATTTTATTATATGGCAAAGAACACATTTCTTTTTGATTCAAGTGCTTTCATTCCTTTAAGCATTACAAAGTTGCGTATCATAAATGTAGCTAGTAAATTACCAACTTATTTGGCAAATGTCACGTTCTTTTTCTTGCTGCTCTGCCTGACATAAGAATAGCTTTTGTTGGTGGGAACCATGTGTGTTTGCTTCTATACGTGTGCTTTTCACACATTTCTTGTAGCTGAATGAGCTTCCTTTCTGGTGTGTGATAAAGAGTTGCAGGTACCCAGCTGAACTATTCAATCCTCAATTCGAAACCCAGAAAGAGCATCAGGGCATGAGAAAAAGGCCTTACTTCTTCATTAACACAATGATTATGTCGCTTGTTTTAGTTTCATTACTGCTGATTCTACACATGCATTATTATGTGTTGCCAGCTATTGCAGATTTCAGTCGAAATGTTAGCGTAATCATCCATGGGAGTACCATGAATGATCCTTCATTCATCTTTTTTTTTAAAGCTGATTATATTCAAAGAAAGAGGTAAATTGTGTAAAACTGGACAGGATGTGATTTGCTTTTACAAGTACCATTTTCGTTGATGAAAATTGAGCCTTATAGGCTTACTATAAAATTATGATTATCGAGTAATATCCACATTATCAAGTTGCATTTTAATGTGTTTATAAGAATTATACAACTTGAAGCCTATTAATTACACATCTTTATTTAATTAATAGAATAAATAAATTATTCACCTTACCATTTTAAAAATCAATAATATGAAAGTTTTCTTTTAAAGATTATCTATTTTTTAACCTAATTTTCTTTCAATATTTTTGTGTCATTTTTTTCTTTTTTTTTAATCGACGACAATATTAATTTTAATGTTGGTTACCGACCACCGATGACTATTAGTTCTCTTGTTTTTTTATATTATGTATTTTATAATTATTTTCTTGTCTTTTTAATTATGAAAGATTCTTTGTCCTTATGACACATTTTTTTCCTCTGCTCTTGTGGCATGTATTTTCTTTACTCTTGTGGCACGATCCTTATGGTTATAATTGGTATGTTTTTCGCATACACTTGAGGTCATTTTGGTTCTCGCATAAAAACCACCACGATATTTATTTTCTGATTGATTTATCGGTAGACACATAGTCAAATCCCTTCTTTTGATAAAAAGGTTGTTTGTCGATGTAATCAGAATTGTGTAGCGAAGCATGCTATCAAATTGTTTGGTTCACTCACCACTCATTTTTTACTTCGTAAATCATCTCATTCAACACATATAATGAGTTTTTATGAAGGTATATATCTTTAGGTTTAATATTTTAGTTTTGTAGAGTATTTTGGTGATTATTGTCTCTAAATTTCTCTCTATATTTTGATGCGTTGTAATTTTGATTCGTTTCATTATTAATGAAAAATTCTTTAGGTACCAAAAGTCAATTTTGAGTATAATTTATACACTTATTTTTATATTAACCTTTAGTTTATAAGTTATACGTTGTGATAAAAAGTAATACGGTAAATTACAAGTTTGGTAACTAAACTTTACTCTATCTCCTATTTCATTCAATATACTTTTAATCTTTTTAATTTTCTCACTGAACTTAATATATGAGTTTTTTTTGTCACTCAGTCATTTCCTCACTAACGATATTATAAATGAGCTTTTATATAGATGCAAAATGATGTCATTTTGGTAAAAAATTTGTTTTTCTAAAATGACAGTGTTTTAACGCGAAAATGACCAAAAAAACCTCAATGTATTAAGTTTAATGAGGGAGTTGAAAATTTTTAAAGTTCAGTAAACAAAATAAGAGAGATAGTAAAGTTTAGTGATAACAATTTATAATTTACCCAAAGTAATATTTCGTGGTCCAACAATTTTTACTTGCAAAATTATTACACTTTAATCGTATTAAAACAAATAACTATTGGGTCTAAATTATTGAGCTAATTTGCCGTAGTTGGTTATCTTTTAATGTATGAAGTCAAGGGTCGTTATTGAAATTAAGTGTATTTCTGTCATCTTTCAACATGTGTTTCGGATTGACTTTTTGTTTAGCTCATCCGTTGGACCCATGTTCGGCCTAGTAGGGTTGTAAAATATGGTAATCGATCAGGTTTCAGTCGGATCCTGGCAAGTCGGGTAAAATCGGATACAGGTCAAGTCAGGTAAATTTGACACCAGATCCAGATCGGGTTCAGGTCATGTCATTTTCAGTTCGGATCATTGACAGTTCAGGTCAAAACAATTCAGGTCCGAAGCAGTTAAGAAGCAGGTTCATTTAGGTTCTGATAGACTTCAGGCGGATCTCGTTCAGATCGGGTCACGTCATTGGCAGATAAAATTCAGGTAGGATCTCTATCAGATACGGATTGAGTTCAAATTGAGTTAATTTTTATTTTTGGATTAATTATTTTCGTCTTTCGCAAACGTTGAATTGCAATTTGTAATTGTATGTGATTTAGAGTAAATTACTAACAATATAAATAATCATGATTCAATTTTATGAAAAATACAAATTTAAGAATTAAATTGAACAAATATGAAATTACAAATAAAAATTTAAAAAAAATTAAACAACACACATTGATTAGGGATCAAATCAAAATAATTTTAAATTGTGAGATTGAAATTAATACAAAAAAATACTAAATTATATCTATTTAAAAAGTTATGGGCCAATTAAAAAATAGAATTAAGTAATAAGTATGGATCAATTTCATATGCAAATAAAATTTGGAGTACTAAATTGAACAAATATGAAATTACAAATAAAAATTTAAATAAATTATACAACACACATTGACGAGGGATCAAATCAAAATAATTTTAAATTGTGATGTTGAAATTAATACAAAAAGTACTAAATTATACCCATTTAAAAAGTTATGGGCCAATTTAAAAATATAAATAAGTAATAAGTATAGGTCAATTTCAGATGCAAATAAAATTTGGAGGACTAAATTGAATAAATATGAAATTACAAATAAAAATTTAAATATATTAAACAACACACATTGATGAGGGATCAAATCGAAATGATTTTAAATTGTGATGTTGAAATTAATATAAAAAAGTACTAAATTATACCCATTTAAAAAGTTATGGGCCAATTTAAAAATATACAACAACAACAACAACAACAACAACAACAAAACCCAATTCCCATATGCAATGGGGTAAGGGGGAGGTAGGGTAGTAGGCTGCCCCCAACGCCAGGTTGAGAGTAGCTTCCGTGGAAGACCTCCGGCAGTCAGAAAATTAAAAATATAGATAAAATGCAATGCATGTATAAATAAATACATAAATACATAGTTGTACAGTATTCATATGCAGTCATTAATATCATTAATATCATATGCGAGTCTGTAATGGGCAGTAATCTTTGTATATAGACAGAAACATAAGAACCGACTAAATTTAAAAGTGGAGAGAAAGGTACACAGAAGTCAAACGATAGCAAGGCCAGTTCTAAGCCTTCATAATACCAATAACAGAAACGATAAAAAGTAGAAGTTATGTAAATTACTACAAAGGCATTAAAAGAAGACAGAGATGATACACCCTAGAGATGTGACCCACACTACTCGACTATCCTAGTCTTAAGTCTCCATACTTTCCTATCAGAGGTCATGTCCTCGGTAAGGGCTAAATCCATCATATCAGATCTCAAGCAGTCTTCCAATTCCGCCTTGGTCGTCCTCTCCTTCTGGCACCGTCGACTGTAATCGACTCTACCCTCCTGACCACATCAGATGGTAGTCGCCTAAGGACATGCCCAAACCACCGTAGTCTTCCTTCCCTCAATTTCTCGAAAACAGGCACCACCCCCAAGGACATCCTAATAGCAGAGTTTGTTGTCATATCCCACAGAGTCCTACCGCATGTCCACCGAAGCATTCTCATTTCTGAGGCCTCTATCCTCCTTACATGATCCTTCTTGGTTGCCCAACATTCAGATCCATACAATAGTGTTGGTCTTATTGCCATTCTATAAAATTTTCCCTTAAGTTTTAGAGGTACCTTATTGTCACACAAAACTCCAGTAGCGGCCCTCCACTTTAGCCATCCCGCCTTTATACGGTGTGTAACGTCATCATCTACACCCCCATCTTTATGTATCATAGACCCTAGGTACTTGAAACAATCCTTTGAGGGGAGAACGTGTCCTTCTATGCATACTTCTAAAACTTGGAGGACTAAATTGAACAAATATGAACTTACAAATAAAATTTTAAATATATTAAACAACACAAAAGGGATCAAATCGAAATAATTTTAAATTTTGAGGTTGAAATTAATATAAAAATGTAATAAATTATACTCATTTAAAAAGTTATAGGCCAATTAATAAATAGAAATAAGTAATAAGTTGAGAAAAAAAATTAAAACAACTAATATAGGTATATATATAATATATAAACTATATAGTTTATATATAAAGTATATGTATTATATATATAAACTATATAGTTTATATATATAAAAACTATATAGTTTATATATATATTATGTATAAAGTATAAACTATATATACCATGTATAAACTATAATACTATATAGTTTATATATGAACTATTGAACTATATAGAAACTACATAGTTTATATATAAATTATATATGAATTATATATAAACTATACAATTTATATTTATATGTTATGTATAATTATAAATAATATATATTGTATAAATTATATAATTTATTAATATAAACTATATAGTTTATATATATATAGTATATATGGTTTAGGGTTTATATTTATACTTATATAAGCTACATACTATAATTTATATTTATATACTATATTTTATACTATTTATATAAACTATAGTTTATATTTATATACTATATATATGAACTATAGTTTACATATGAACTATAGTACTATAGTTTACATATGAACTATATATAAACTATATAGTTTACATATGAACAATATATATAGTTTATTAGTGAACTATATACACTATTTATATAATATATACTATATATATAAATTATAGTTTATATTTATATACTACATACTATAGTTTATATTTATATATTATATATATAAACTATATATACTATATAGTATAATTTACATATGAACTATATATAAAAATATTAAACCCTAAACCCTAAACTATACATTATATAGTTTATTAGTATATATAATATAAACTATATGATATATATAGACTATATGGTATACATAAACTATACATTATATATAGTTCATTAGTATATATAAGCTATATACTATATAGTTCATTAGTATATATAACCTATATAGTATATGGTATATACAAACTATATATTATATAGTTTATTAGTATATATAAACCATATAGTATATATAAACTATATATTAATTTATTAATATAAACATATATATTAATTGAAAGAATTGAAAGAATTGAAAAATATATAATGATCAAATTGAATAAATTTTAAATATGAAGTTTAAATTAATAAATTGTAACATTAAATTGGATTAAATTGAAAAAAGTTAAAATATGAAGCTCAAATTAATATATTAAATTATTAAATATGTACTAAATTAAATAAATTTAAAATCAAGAGACAACACTATAATATCAAATAAAATTAAAAAAACACGCGAATTTTCGGCTACGCCAACTGTGGCGCCAAAAGCAGCATCATTTCCCGCTTAACTCCGCCCTTCTCTTTTCATATGTAATTTTAGGGTGTCGGATACCTAATTTTGTTTTCACAAAACTATTTTTCTTGTTACAGAACTTTGATTGGAATAAAATGCAAAGATGGGATCGTTATGGTAATGCTTTTATTTTTCCTTTTTCCTTAATTCCTTATTGTGAACCAAAAAAGAAAAAAAAGCAGCAGCAAATATATGCGTGTAGACTAAAATGGGTGCTATTATTTTAGGGAGTTGAAAAACTGATAGCTTCAAAGATGATGTTACCCGGTTCTAATCGAAGAATCCACTCCGTTCTAATCGAAGAATCCACTCCGTTCATCGCCATTCCGGCATGGTATTTGCTATTCCTCCCCCTTTTTCATCAGCTTTAACTTTGTTTCGGATGGAATATTTACCCCATTTTCAATGATAATGTTTTGGGTTCTGACTTTCTCTTTCACTGGTATTTTATATTCTAATTCAGGTTGTGGCTGGATTAGCGGCTGACGGTAGGCAAATTGTGGCCCGTGCTAAATCTGAAGCTACTAATTACTAAAGGTTTTTCCTTTTGTTTTCCATTTGAAATAAATTTCCACAGTTCAGCTTTAGCTATACCTGTTATGTTTTTGGCTTTGGCTTTGGCTTTGACTCCTACTCCCGCGGCGCAGGACGTGGTGGAGTATGCCGAGACTGTTTTCTATAGCAGAAGGAGCGCGGCAGCTGAGGACGGGCTGTTTTCGGACTTCGAACAGGACGACGGTGGGGGAGCCCGGAAAAGGTGGAGCCAGCGCTTGACGCCGACATTTCTTTAACCGGCTGTTGATTTGATTCTGTGTTATTGTTTTCAAAGCTTTACTGCTTTATTTCTTCAGTTAACTGTAATGGTATCCATTATAGTATTGTTCTGTAAGTCTGTAACTGCATATGAGTGAACGTACTTGTTGAGTACTCAAACACCACTCCTCCGAATTGAGGTGCAGTTCGAGTTAAATAGGAGTAGCTAGAGATCGAATTGAGTCTTGAATATATTTAATACAAGAATTGAGCAACTCATCATGAGCCCAACAAGGATTTTGAGTTTATTTACATGTTTTCAAAGTTGTGTTTTAACCCTAGCTTGAGTCAAGTTTCAAGTTCAGTTTTTGGGTAATGATAATTCTAATTAAGTCTTTTATATCATGAAGGTATATCTTGCAAGTTGCCTTCTTGACTATTAAGGTTGAACAAGTCTTCAACTGATTAATTCTGATTAGTGAAACTTATGACTATTATAATGCTAGCAAACTTGTACCGGCTGTGTTTTTTTTTCTCCGAGCAGCTTCTAACTGGTGGGGCTTTTTGAAAACTAAACAATAAGTGCGGAATTAGAAGCATTAAATTTAATTTTAACCGCAGAAAACCTCTATGGCCAATGCTTGACACGTTATCTTCTTGAATATGATGTTTTTCAGGTAGGAGACCTTAAAGGATTGTTTGGACTGCTCATAGTCAATATATATAAGCTGAGAGAAAAGGCTAAAGTTTTAGATCTATTATATGGGAATGGGACTGGTAATTTTTTATATTCTGTTTCTGCTAATTGCAAAGATGATGCAATGGATTACATGTAATATTCCCTTATGTTCATGATGTCTCTGATGCGTTTGTTCTTGATGTCTATTTAGTGATAGTATTATACCCTGGTGTCTGTTCCATATATTGAAAGTAAAGATATGGGTGAATGGTTCTAAGACGAGTGTTATTTCTCCAAACCTTCAAAGGAAGGAAATGTTGGTAGAACACTGAGCGAGTGAGAATGGATTATGTATTACTTCTTCATTCTGATACATTGTGTTTAGCTGGTACATTTCCAGGCGGGGGCTCCAAAATTTATGTCCCTCAATTTATTACATACATGCTTGACAGGCAATGCATCCCGTAAAATGGAATCTGAAAAAATCTCGCCCTTTCCATTTTCCGTTGTTTCTCTTCACTGGTAGTTTGCCTGTTTTAAAATGTTTGTCTTATTGTTGTGACTCTGACATGGCATACCATCATTTGAACAGCTAATACAACTCTTATATATCACCATGGGAAACTTCTGGCACTTCAAGAGGCAGATAAACCTTGTAAGTTTGTCTTCTCTCTTGATTTTCTTTCAAGAAATAATGAAGAAGGTTGAGGATGCTAACCTTCACATCAGTTAGGATTCTTATTATTTTCTTATTTGGACTCACTTATTTATTTTTATTTTTTTTACTTTGATGAAACTTGGGTATTAAATTGTGGTCTCTGTTACAACAGATGTCCTAAAAGTTTTGAAGCATCAAATTTATTTTACCATGTGAGTTGTACCAGATTTGCAGGTTATACTATTAGGTCTCTTTTAGTTTATGAATTTTGAACAGGTCTATTCATAATTTGGTATGTTTGCTTTTGGAAATTGATGTTTTTTCAAATGCAGTGAAAAATACAAAAATTTGTTCTATCTAATCTAGAGTCTATTTTTAATTGATAAAAAGATTTAGGAGTTTATAATCTTATTTTTCATGTCAGGGTGGTTTTGGCCGAGTCTGGAACCATGGTTTATTGCTAAATATCATTGAAGAGGAGGTTTATGTTATAGTCATTGATGAGGTACACTCTTGGCTCTGTTGGTTTTTCACCTGCATGCTTGGTTGCTTTAATTCGTTCTAAGTTGATTTTTTTCAAAGTCGGAAATGTTTGACACTGTTGGCTATCTTATTCCCTTTGGCTTTACCACTGATTGTATGTTTTCTTAATGCAGGATGCTTGCTGAATTGATGCAATAATGTTTGATGAATTGATGCAATAATGCTTGATGAATTGGTACATTGATGCTTGCCAGTTGCTGTTGTCTATTACTCATTGATGCCTTGTAAATTATTGTTGTTGGTGTGACTTAAATCAATTTTTGAACATTATAAATTCTTATCTAAATAGTTACTCATGTGTAATTATTTTGGTGACATTTTGATTTTTAAAGTTAGAAAGTTGCCCATAATTAAACATGCTGGTAACAATGATGATATTTTTGGTAGTATAGTTAGGCTTTTAGCCTTGCAAAACTTTAGCTATAAGATTTGAGATCATTTATTTCAACATAAATTTATTTTGTTTAGTTGATTTTATTGTAATTTTAGTGTTTTCAAGTATAATAAAATTAATTTCATTTATAATTTTTTTGTTTTAGTATTTGTAATGTTATTAAAGTTTCAAATATTTAATAAGTTCATCATTTTAACTAATATATTTTTATTTTAAAATTTCAAGTTAAGTTATACTTAAATTATTAATCAATTTTTACATTAAAAGTAAATTAGATTTATGAATATTTTAACTTAATTAATATAATTTAATAAAATCAAGTTCAATAAGATAATATTTAAATTTAATTTAGTGATTGTAAATAAAATTTATAATATAAGAAATATAAAGAATTGAAATTAATATGAAAACCAAATTTATAATATATAAATTATAATTAATATAAAAACTAAATTTCAAAAAGTAATCATATTAATTTAATTATCATAAGTTTATTATAAATTTAAAATAACATAATTATATTAATTATAATTTCACTTATAAGTCAAGATAATATTAGATCATTTTAACAACATGTCGGATCATTTACAGGTTGAGTCAAATTACAGGTCAGGTTCATAACAGGTCAGGTTGAAAACAGGCCGGGTAATACCAGTTATTTACCAGGTCAATCTCGGGTTCGGGTTCATATCATTCGGATGCAGTTCAGGTTCGGGTATTATATTTTTGGTTAAATTCGGGTTCATGTCATTCTCAGGTCAGATGCAGGTCGAATTCAGATCCATAATTTTCAGGTCCAATTCGGGTTCAGGTCAACACCAGTTCCGACTCGAATCAGTTTTGGATCGCCATAGCTCAGGTCAAAAACAGTTTTGACTTGAGTCGGTTTCAGTCAGTTTTACAGATCGGGTCAGCTTTTTACACCCTTACCTAATTGTATTATGAAACATTTGTTATTTGAATTTGATGTTTGATTCGAATCGAATATAAAAAGGGATTTTAGGAAGACTCGTCCCTCTTTTACAAAAATGTTATCGGTTGTTTATTTATTTATTTATTTATTTTTCTACGGATGTACAGATCAAGTTATTTCGGTGGTAAATGAATTGTTGTTATTTTTTAAGGTTTCGAGTTTCAAACATCAAGAATGACATCAATCTAAACATTCAATGTCAAACGGCTGAGAATTGTCTTTAAACAAAAATTACTTTATACTTAACCAGATTAATAAAAAAAAACTCTCTACCGATGAACTATTGATTTTCTTTTGTTGGTGAACAACACTTAAATTATAAGAATTTCGATGCAATGATTCTTTAGTAAATCGCATAATATAACCCAGAATATTAAACGAATATGTTGAGATTCATTAAAAAAGTAAAAATATTTAAAAATTATAATAATGATTTATAATTCTCATCCTAAACTAAATATATACTTTTTATATTTTCATATAACATTGAAATTAATCATTTTAGATTATATACGAACCACACATGAAAAAGGATAATAAAAATTCAACCAAAACAATCGAACAAAAAATAAATACAAACAAATATGGTTGCATAGACAAACGAATCACAAAAGAGAATTAAGCTATTGAAAGACTACCGAGAATCGTAAGTCAAAGTCGAACATCATGATAAACTATCCATGAATGCAAAATTACACATCCAAATTTAATCTATGAGTCTATAATAGGGAAAATCAACAGAATTACAAATAAGTGTCATCTCGATCAGTCGTGGCACTGTCAAATCTAACCTTGAGAAAACATAAATAAAAGAACGACCAAACGACCGAGAAATAAAACGAAAAAGTGTTATAAAGACAGAGAAAAATATGTCACAAAGACATAATTTTATTCTTATTAAAAATTAAAAAAAAGAAACATAAGAAAAAAATTGATGATCCAACCAACATTAAAAATTGATGTCATCGCCGATTAAATAAAATCAAAGAAAAAATGATTTGATCTATAAAAATCTACACAATTCTAAAGGATAGAAATAAGAGGGAGAAACGTCAAGGGTTATTTAATCATGAATTCGAGTAATCGAATTCAGTTAAACTTATATGATCTATTAGTTTGTGCTCGCTTAGGAATTCAAATGGATCTATTGGTTTGATAAATTACGGTCATAAAAGGTCTCTGACTATTAAAAAGAAAAGCATAATGAAAATAAATACCCTTAACGTTTGACAATATATGCAATTTTGCTCCTATTGTTTTTTTGAATATTTGACCCTTCAACTTTTCATTTTTGGGTCAAAAAGCACACTCGTTTGATGAAAATTGTTAGTCAACTGACAGTCAATGCATGAAGCTGACTTAGCAAGAACATGTGGAGGGAGATGCTAACATGGCATGTCTACGTGTGATGCCATGTCAGTATTTTTAAAAAAATTAATTAATAATAAATAATTGTTTTTTACTAAATTACAACAACAACAACAACAACAAAACCCAATTCTCATATGCAATGGGGTAAGGGGGAGGTAGGATAGTAGGCTGCCCCCAACGCCAGGTTGAGAGTAGCTTCCGTGGAAGACCTCTGGCAGTCAGAAAATTAAAATATAGATAAAATGCAAAGCATGTATAAATAAATACATAAATACATAGTTGAACAATATTTATATGCAGTCATAAATATCATTAATATCATATGCGCGTTTGAAATGGGAAGTAATCCCCGCAAATGGGAAAATTAATAGCAACCAATTAGATGTTGTCACGTG